AGTGAGGTGTCTGAGAAGCCGTATCCTGCAATCCTGGGCACGAGAAAAACCCTAAACCCTAAACCCTGGATCCTTATCAACCTCAGACTTGAATCTATCGGCAGGCTCGATCTTAGCTCGAAGATGCCAATCTACTCCGGGCGTGTGGCGGGCTTGGCAGAGAGGGTGGAATACGGGCTTTGGGTTTCTGAGTTAGGCCTACGTTGTCGAGATTTTGCAGGTTAGGACGCAAGGGAAAGCTCGGCCCCTGATGCCCCAGGTGGTTCCTTCACTTCCGAAGTTTGTGATCGAGACAGGGGTGGCGCTGGTCACAGGTGCCGGAGCCATGCTGTGGCGTGCGATGGGGGATCTTGGGGTTTGGGCTTCGGCTTCGGGCGTTGGTGGTTTGGTGCTTGGAGTCTTGGGCTTTTGGGGTTTCGTCGCGGTAGGGTTTGCTGCAAAGTTGGGGAGAGTCTGAGGCTCTCGTGTTCCTTGTGCAATAGTACATGTATCTGTGAACGCCCGATTCTGGGCAGCCCCCTTTTCCATCTCGCTCCACCCCGCGTCTCCGCAGCAGCTCCCTTTCAAGGGGGTGGGCCTGGGGCGGTGGCCCACTGTGAACTTTGAAATGGGTTCGCCCATAGTTGCGGGGAGAGGGGGGAGAGATTGGGACTCCCCATGATCTCATCTGAAGGCCACGAGTGAAGTCGACAGGAGGCATCCAAACTTCGCACCTCCTGAACGCTTCGCCCTTCGCACACCCGACTCCTAAACCCCCAAAGCCCATGCCCGAAACCCTAAACCCTAAACCCTACACCCTAAACCCTAAACCTTAAACCCTAAGCCCTAAACCCTAAACCCTAAACCCTAAACCCTAAACCCTCAGACCTGCAGATCAGGTGGTGTGGGAGGCATTGGCTTGGCTGCGGCAGAAGCCATAGCAGCGCCCCAAGAACGCTAGTCTTCGATCCTCATTGTGGTTTCGGCTCTCTGGCTGATGTCCTATGTGGTGTGTATATATATATATATATATGTATATACTATGTATATACATATATACATATACATACATATTTCGTTTTCCGCACTTAAGGTAGAAATATACACCCCGGACACATCAGAATCTAACCCCCTAACGCTCTGAAGCCTGAATCCCTACCAACCCAAAACTCTTTTGAAGCCGGACTCTGCATAGGCCCTACGTTGCTAGCTGCTAGATCCTCACCCTAAACCCTGAACCCGAAGCCGCAGCACTCTTTCGAGCCTACAGCTCTGGCCCACACAAGGCTGAACTGGGATTCCGCCGGCTGGTCTTGACTTCGCGTTCTGGCCAGGTGGGTCGCAGTCGTGGTTTCGTACGGTAGGGAGCAGGGATCGCGTCTCGGGTAACGGTGCGGAGGGATTGATAAGGCTTTGGTTTGGATTTCCTTCAATAGAGATTTTGGGTCGAGGGTCTAACTTATGGAGTTTAAGGCTTCGGGTTGAGGGCTTAGAGGCATTCAACTTCCTATCTTCACAATGGACGTCTTGCAATTTCAGTTGCAGGTATCTTCTTCCAGGTGTCTTTCTTCAGCCCCCCCTCTTCGCTGGAGGTGTTTTTTGGGGTTCTCTGGCGCCTACTTGGGCTGTAGTAGCGATCCGCCCCGTAGCTTGCAGGGCGGAAGCCCGGCTCAGAATATCTGTGCCAGGTGCCCTCGCAGCAAGGCGCGGAGGAGCGCATCGAGGCCCGGAGCTGGAGGTTGCCTCTTTTGCCTAGGGTTTAGGGTTGAGTTAGGGTTCAGGGTCAGGGTCCAAGGCTTAGATTGCAGCTTACGATGTTTTAGGGGTTATTGTGTCTGTTCTGTGATCAGGCAAAAAGCAACACTCCACAATCACAGGCGCTGCGCTCGTCCGGTGCGAGCGTTGCCGTGGAAGCCTGCGATGTGGCTGAGGAGTCGCGCCCCTGGCCTGGGGTGGGCCGCCTTTGGTGCCCTAATTTACGATTGCATGGATGCAGGCGCTTCCAAACGCACTGCCGTATGTGGCTTCTCGGGTTGAGATGACACCTTGAACTTGAACGATTAGGTCGGGTCATGTAGAAGAGATGCAGTATTGACAGCTGTGCAATGGTTGAATTAGCTGTAGACGTGCAGCAGCCAATGACTCGCACAAGGACATCCAGCGGACCGCTTCTGTATAATCCCCGCGCCCCTGATACTTAGCACAAACCCTCACAAATCTAAAAATTCTCGGGCCTATGCAAGTTTGTCTTTGTTGGAGACGCTTGCAGGTCCAGCGTTTGCGAGTTGATGGAGCGCTTGGTGCTGAGACGACGCATCCAGCGGTAGTTTCAGGATCCAATCGCGCGCCCAGGGGAACATCCTGCAGTGTCGTGTGCACTGAGGGACGAGGTTCACAGAGGTGATGGAATTATCCCCCTCACCCTAAACCCTAAACACAAAATCCCAAACCCTAAACACTAAACTGGCCTAAACCCTAAACCCTAAACCCTAAACTCTAAACCCTAAACCCTAAACCCTAAACCCTAAACCTTATTAAACCCTAAACCCTAAACCCTAAACCCTAAACCCTAAACCCTAAACCCTAAACCCTACAATGGTCCATCCCAGGGATCCAGAGCGAGCATGGCCCTCTGCGCGTGGTCGTTCACGCCAGCGGCCTCCTCGAGGAGAGGGGGTTGGCCCAGGGTCTGCTTGGGGTTAGGGGTTTAGGGTTTAGGGTTTAGGGTTCAGGGCTCAAAGTTTAGGGTTTAGGGCTTTCAGGCTAGGGCTTTCATAGGGTTTAGGGAGTGTGTCCCGCATTGCCTTGTCTGTCTACTTCTACCTCACATTCACAAATGAATATAGCTCATGTTGCAATAAAGGCAAGTACATGTGAGCATGATGAAACTGCATGAGAAGCATATAAACATGATAGTGTGCATCAGAAAATTCTTCTGAAACTGGAGATGCTTGGAGCTAGATGCTTTGTTGCACACCAGACCGAGTTTTTTCGCTGTTCGAAGGATCGGTCCATCTATGACCAAGATGCCGATGCCTTTAGGAAGGCCTGGCTGCTGTTGATTTGAGTGCGGCATCTGTCAACCCTAAACCCTAAACCCTAAACCCTGATGTCCCCCATGCATAGAGAGCAGAAATGCAAGCTCAAGCCCCCAAAGCCTTAGGTCCACTTGGCGGCCCCAAGGCCATTTTGTACCCTCATGCTCACATGCTCAAGCTTCGTATTCTGCGCCCAGACCCTGTCCTCTGTCCTTGCCATCCCTGATTCTAGCAGCTACCTTTTTCCATTTTCTTGTCCGGGGCATTGTCAGGGGCTGGGGTCACTCTGGCTCCGTCTTTGCGGCTGGTTCTCCTGGACGAAAGAGCAAATTTGATTAGGCCTTGTTGTTTGCCGCCGCCCATGGCATGTAGCCGAGAAAGAGGTGCGAGGGAGATGTGAATCCTTGGTCCTTGAGTAGAAATGAAACCTCCCGGCGCCCTTGTTCAGAGACGCGAGCCTGTGCCCAAGCCCCGGGGTAAAAAGTCCAACAGCCCGATTTACGGCCCCTGAAGTTTAGGGTTTAGGGTAGGGCCCAGAGCCCCTCAAAGTAACGGGCGAGGTGTTCGAGCCCAAGGCGAAAGGGGCCTGGCACCTGCACCGTGGCGAGCCCAGGAGATATGTCTGGGCTGCTAGGCTGGGAGGGTTTTAGAGTTCAGGTCTGGGGTTTAGGGTTTAGGGTTTGGGGGAAGAGTGTGTAGGGGTGTAGAGGTTTAGGGAATTAGGGGTTGAGGCCGTCCGCAGGGTTTTAGGGTTTATAAATGGAGAGTGTAGCAGCCAGGCTGGATATATGGGGCGTCGGGCCACCTCGAGGCGAGATCTTGCTTCCCGAAATGAGAACCAGGCTCTCACTGCGAACTTGGCTCCCCCAAATCCCGAGTGACCCCAACCCCACACGCTGACTATGACCAAACCCTCAACTCTATGTTTATGGAGTTTAGGGTTTACAGAATAAGGGTTTAGGGTTTTTTAGAATCCGTGAGGTCACACACTGTCAGAGCGATTGCACGCCTTTGTGCTCTGCTCTTCCGTGGCTGCGCTTTTGGGCAGTCGTGGTCAGGCGCGGGGTTCACAGAAACTGGGTTTATACCTTAATCCAAACCTACTTGTTTGTAGGCCACCGAAGAATCTTATAAGGGAGGGCTTCTACGGTAAGTAGTGACTTACAAAAAGGTAGGCATTGGGTTCCTCAGGTAGCGGGGCTTATAGACCTTGTGGGATTTAGGGATCGAGGGAGTTTCCCTCAGGTCTTGATGGCGGGGATTCATGCGTAGCAGCGTTGAGTGGTGGTGTTTCAGACATTTTTCTCTGGAGTGATTTGTTGCAGGGGCATCTGAGAATTGCAGGCGTTGTAATGTTACAAACCCTATTCACAGCACAAGAGGAAACCTTCGGAAAATCAGCTGACTTGAAGTGAGGGCGTCTCTTGGACAACAAAAACACACGCGGCTGCAGGAGTGTAGCCCCCGTGCCAGGCTAACTACGCGGCGGCCAGCGCCTATCTCGATGAGCTTGCGCGGTTAAGGACAGCTCACGACCTGCCGGCCGTCAGCTTGCAGTGGCCCGGATCCCAGACAGCCGGTGGAGGCCCGAATTCGAAGGCTAAATTCTCCAATCTCGGAGTCGCATGCGCGTCTGTTTCAAGACAGGGTACAGCCCATGTCCTACCGCGAGTCTTCGTGTTGTCGGATCGCGCTCGCGCGCATTTTGTGGTGTTTGCTGGTGGAAATCGTCACCTCGCCTTAGGTTCCCTGCACTGAGGCAGTGTAAAGGCAGTCCACCAGCCGGCATATCGAGCCACACCAAGGCCGGCGATCGATCCCTGGCCCGAGGATTCGGCTGCATGTGTTGCACCATGTATCCCAGATCCGAGAAGCTTAAACTTGAGAGTTCTGTGAGCGTCGACATCACCTTTCGCTGCCCGAAGACAAAAATGTGCTGGCTCCTGGGGAGACATTGGCTCAAAGCTGCAAGTGCAGGACACGATGGCGCAAGTCGAGTGTCGCTTTACCTTTCTTGACGTGCTGTTGGAGGATGAGGAGCGGGGCAGAGACCTTCATGCCGGCCGTGCTCGCAGTGCTCCTCCGCCTCTCTGCCTGGAATCCCTGGAATCGCCATGGAGCCTGGAAGAAGCTGCCGTGAGGAGCTACGTGCGCTCGCTGCCGACGGTGTTCGCAGGTCCAGAGGTGCCGAGGGCGGTGCCTGTGGTTCCGGCGCCTGCCAGTGCAGGGAGCATGGGTCATCCGGAGCTGTGCCAGCGTCCGTGTGTGCACGTCGCAGCTGGGAGGAACTGTGAGGAAGGTGATGCGTGCGGCTTCTGCCACGTTCCACACAGCCATGCGCACAAGATGGACAAGCGGCAACGCCGCATCATCCAGGAGATGCCCAAGGCGGACTTTCTTCACTTGGCGCTCCAGCTGCTAAAAGACAAGGCCGAAACCATGCAGCATCGTGGCACGGAGGTTCTCTTCGGCATCTTGGAAACTGAGATGCACTCTGAGGGCACATCGGTACCGGAAATGACGACTCCAAGCAGGTTGCCGCGTGCACTGATGCGTTGCATGCGTGAGGCGAGCTTTTCCACCGTGGTGGGCTGGGCTGCGCGGAAGTGCACAGACGATGCCAGAATACAGCTGTATGGTGCCACGCAGACCTTGCGCAATCAAGCAACCCTCTGAGCTGAGGCAGTAAAGAGGGCTACGCATATGAAGCCGTAGCCATTTGAAGTTGTCAGGTAGGCTAAAAAAGGTAGGCTAAAAAAAGGGTAGAACCATCAATAGCCAGTATTGCAATATTTTGTTGACGTAGAGAGTGCAAGAACTTCCTGCCAGACACACAACTTTTTCTTGGGCGTGAGGCCCGCAGCCGTCGGAGGAGGGCCAGGAAATGGCTTGAAGATGTTTTAGGGTTCAGGGTCAGTTTAGGGTGTAGGGTATAACTCACCCCTGTAGTAGTAGCGTCTGCCCCCCCTCCGGCTGCTTCAGTGCGGCAGTTCCGGTGAGCCCACGTTTCAGCGGACACGCAACTTCACTAATTACAGCTTCCTGTCTTGCCAGAGCAGACAGGGAACTCAATAATCTGTCCAAAGATCTTTTTGTGCAGAGCAACCACCCTGCTCCGCCTCATCTCATGCCTCCCAGGGGCTGGGTTTCACACAATGCCATGTTCTCACTTGTGCCAGCATGTTGTGAAGGTCGCTGCCTGCATGCCAAGATAGAACCGCGCACTCTGCTCCTGACAGGATTCCTTGTCCCAGTATGCGAGATTTCGATGTGCAGGCAGCGGCTGATTCTCGAGCAAGGGCCGTACTCTGGCCGTAGGGCCTGTAGGGCCCGTAGAGCCCGCGAGGGCCGTACAGGCCGCAAACCCGGACGGTCGCGCGTGGGCCCTGTCCTGCTTTAAGACACTTCTCCAGCGGCTGAAGGGAAGGAGCCAGGAACCGTGCCCTTGCGAAAAGGGCGCCCCGTTTGCGGAAGCGGCTTGCACGCCAAGCCTTCACACTGAGCCTGAACACCAAGCCCGAAGCCCTAAACTCCCCTAAATTCCCTTTCAAGGAGCCGGAGCCCACGACGTCGCGGGAGGGATTCTGGAATGGCTTACCGTCAGGCCAGCTGTCTGATACTTGTCAAGGACTTTGAACCCTAAGTCCGGATTTTTATGGGGGGTTTATTGGGTGGGCGACTCCCCTCGCAGTACAAACCACGTGCTGACTCTCTTGGTTCCGCTCGCATGAAGTTTACGTAATGTCTCACGCATCGGTCAGTAGTTGAGCCTGACGTAGTTTGTGCTTAAATGGAAGAGCACCAAGCCGCCGACCACGCAGGAGAAACGGTTCATACGTGGGTCTGTATTTGGCGGGATTTCTGTAAGGAGGGTCCATGAATCACTGGGAAACCAAAGCGTGCAGGGTCGTCAGCTCTTGTTTGTTTGGTCGGTCCCTCGAAGCTGTGCTGCGCTCGGAGTTTCTAGGTCGGGGGTGGTTGCAAAAGGTCGCCAGGCCAGTCTTTAGAATCCAAAAAAACAGAGAAGTCCCGGGTTTCCGGTGCAGGAGGTCCCAGGCGGTCCGCAGAGGGGGTCCCAGGATGTTCTCAGCCGAGGGGTCAAAAGGCCAGGGTCGGGGGGCCTAAGCCCTAGGCCTTAATCTGCCAGACACGAAATCCGAGGAAGTTGCGATGGCAAAGGCACGTGGCAAAGGGCACGCAAGACAACTTTAAGAATGCAGATTGTGCCTCCGACCCTAAGCATCCCTCGCCGCACCAGGTCTGGATAAGAAGACCGTCAAGAGCAGCGTTCCCCTCAGTGTTGTGAGGCCACGCCGAAGTCGCCTATACCCGAAACCCTATGTGTGGAAAGCCCCAAGTTAAGTTGTTCCTTCGGCAAGTGATCGGAATGCCCCCCCCCCCCCCCCAGATGTCTCTTTACGGAATTTGAAGCTTTCTGAACCGGAGTGCCGAGGCTTTGATGGTTGAGGGTTCAGGATTTTGGGGTTGAGGGTTGAGGGTTGAGGGTTGAGGGTTGAGGGTTGAGGGTTGAGGGTTGAGGGTTGAGATTCGAGGGTGTAGGATTTTGTGGTTTAGGTTTGTTCGGGCTGAAGTTCAAATATGCAGCAGGCTCCATTTCGACTTCGATGTTGATGGCACTGAAGATCAGCATCATGATTCTGTTGTACTGTATATATATATATATATACACACACATATGTATATATATACACACATGTATGAACACATATATATATATATATACACGTATACATATACATAAACATGTACATGTACATATACGTATACATATACACATACATGTACACGTACAGATGTGTATCTACATATATATATATATATATGTATATGCTAGCCGTCCGTAGTACCATGAGTAGTACTACTATACGTTGTTCATACACCCCTGAAAGCCCTGCGAACCAGTTTCCGGGAGAGAGCCTGGAAGGGAAGACTGAGGAGCTGAAATTCGCGGGGCATCCCTAAGACCCCTAAAGCCCTATAAACCTCAAACCTTAAACCCCAAACCATAAAAACCCTAAACCCCAAACCCCAAACCCTAAACCCTAAACTCTCAAGACTCAAGCCTCAACCCTAAACCGCAAATTGCAAACCCAAAGCCCCGAAGCCCCGAAGCCCCGAAGCCCCAAAGCCCCAAAGCCCCAAGCCCCAAAGCCCCAAAGCCCCAAAGCCCCAAAGCCCCAAAGCCCCAAAGCCCCAAAGCCCCAAAGCCCCAAAGCCCCAAAGCCCCAAAGCCCCAAGCCCCAAAGCCTAAACACTAAGCCCCTAACCAGAAGCTCCCAGTATGGCCAGGCAGGTCTTTAAGCTGGCTGTGGCGGGGGCCAAGGATCTTGGCGAGCCCGTCCAGGTTGGCGCTTGGCATTTCTGATTGGTTTGGGGTTTAGGGTTTGGGGTTTGGGGTTTGGGGTTTGGGGTTTGGGGTTTGGGGTTTGGGGTTTAGGGTTTGGGGTTTAGGGGTTTAGGGGTTTGGGGGTTAGGTTTTGGGTTTAGAGTTTGGGCTTTAGGGTTTTGGGTTTAGGGTTGGGGGTTTGGGGTTTGAGGTTTTGGGGTTTAGGGTTTAGGGCTTAGGGTTTTGGGTTTAGAGTTTGGGCTTTAGGGTTTGGGGTTTAAGGTTTGGGGTTTAAAGTTTAGGGCCTCGGGCTTTGGGGTTAGGGTTTGGTTTGGGGTTTGGGGCCCCGCCCCCAAACAGGCCATCCTGCCTGGTGCGTACCTGTCGCCGACCTCACCCACAGCCGTGGCGCTCAGTCAAAATCGGGTTCAGGGTATAGGGCTTAGGGTTTTAGGGCTTGGGACTTCGGATTTAGGGCTCAGGGATGAGGGTTTCGACTGAAGCAGCTGTGGCGTGTGGCTTTGCCCTCAACCCTACTTAGGCTTCGCCTAAAATCCTGACGCCTCATATAGGGGGGTTCGGTACGACCAGGTTGAAGGGGCTCGTATTGCAAGGGTTTCGGTAGTAGGGGTTTTGATACATCCCGCAACATCTGAGCAGCACTCGGCCACCCTGCACGTAGAGATCTGAAGGGGTCTCGGGTTCAGTTCATTCTCAGTTTTTCCTCAGTTTTCAGGACTTATGATGTTTGACAACCAAGTTGGGTCTAGGGGTTTAGGGGTCAGGGTTCAGGGCTTAGGGGATGTTATTAATCCGACCCAAGAACGTTCTGCGGGGTTGGGGGTTTGGGTTTTGCTGTTTTTGTGCAAGTTGGCCCAAAGATTTTTCAAAAGCCCCACATGGTTTCAGGGGTTAAGAATGGGTTAAGGGTACAGCGTTTAGGGTTTAGGGTTAAGGGTTTAGGGTTAAGAGGTTTAGGCAAATAAACCCCAAACTGCATGCCCCGAGCCCAATCTGCATGAAAGGTTCGGAGTTTGTTGGAGCCGCTTCTTGCCCGGCGTAAGGCCCACGGGCTGCGAAGGGATTGGATGTTGGGGGTTGAGGGTTTGGGGAAGCCTAAACCCTAAACCCCAAACCCTAAACCGTAAACCCTAAACTTGGCCCTAAACCCCAAACCCCAAACCCCAAACCCCAAACCCCAAACCCCAAACCCCAAACCCCAAACCCCAAACCCCAAACCCCAAACCCCAAACCCCAACCCCAAACCCCCAACCCCAAACCCCAAACCCCAAACCCCAAACCCCAAACCCCAAACCCCAAACCCCCAACCCCAAACCCCAAACCCCACACCCCAAACCCCAAACCCCAAACCCCAAACCCCAAACCCCAAACCCCAAACCCCAAACCCCAAACCCCAAACCCCAAACCCTAAACCCTAAACCCTAAACCCTAAACCCTAAACCCTAAACCCATACATTTTCGGGCTTAGGGTTTCGGGCGGATCCAGGAACTTTAGGGTGGCTTCCTCTCTGAACTGCAAGTCCCCAAGCGCCTGAAATACCCTGAGCCCCGAAAATCCCTAAACCCTAAGCCCCCCTGAGCCCCTAAACCCTGAGCCCTAAACCCTGAGCCCCTCAACACCTAAGCCCCTGAACCTCGAAACCCTATATCCCCTTAGCCCTAAACCCCAAACTTGACCCCCTTCATCCCAAGTCCTGAATGTGAATATTTAGGGTTTAGGGTTTAGGGTTTAGGGTTTAGGGTTTAGGGTTTAGGGTCCTGAATGTGAATAAACCCACAGGCCGGTGCAACCTGGGCCGCGGAGCCCGGGGCCCTCAGGACTGCCAGGGTTCAGGGTTCAGGGTTCAGGGTTCAGGGTTCAGGGTTCAGGGTTCAGGGTTTAGGGTTTAGGGTTTAGGGTTTAGGGTTTAGGGTTTAGGGTTTGGGTTTAGGGTTTAGGGTTTAGGGTTTAGGGTTTGGGGTTCGGGCCTCCCTCAAAAAGGGGACGCTGTGAATGTCTTTGGGTGACATCCCAGAAGTACAGAACTCTAAACGCCAAAGTGCATGTGATTAAGTTCATGGCACTAGCATTAATAGCTCTTGTTGTTGTAGCTATTATGATGATTCTCATCTCCACTATCCTCATGCGTTTCTTCGCTTGCCTCTTTGTTGGGCCAGCTTTTCTTGTTTACGTCTTTTGGCTTCCTCTTTCTTCCGATAAACCATAGCCATTTGTTCCGCAGCATTTCTCTTGACATCCTCTTGCTTCATCGATGCTTCTCGCCTGAGCTCCATGTTGGGGACTTGTTTTCTTTGCACATCGCAGACATTCCGAGGGCTTGTATATCAACATGGCTTTCAGACTCCTTGCAGCTCTCCGGCTCTAGGAATAAACCGCCTTTGTAAGTGAGCAGCTTATAAGTCCGAGACCCCGAGCCCCTAAACACCAAACTCCTTGATCATCAGATTCCGAAGCGCTGATCGCCAAAGTTCAAACAACCCTAGACCCTAAACCCTGAACCCTGCACCCTGCACCCTGAACCCTAAACCCTAAACCCTAAACCCTAAACCCTAAACCCTAAACCCTAAACCCTAAACCCTAAACCCTAAACCCTAGCTAAACCCTAAACCCCCTGAACCTTTTGTGGAGGAACTCTGGGACGATCTCCTCAAGCGGCGTGAGACTCTGCCTATCCCTGGGCTGAGACAGTTCCACCCGCACTCCCCATAGAGTCTAAGCGAAGAGCTGAGATGTAGGATTCTTGTAGTGCTTGGGGTTTAGGGTTTAGGGTTTAGGGTTTAGGGTTTAGGGTTTAGGGTTTAGGGTTTAGGGTTTAGGGTTTAGGGTTTAAGGGTGTGGGGTTTAGGGTTTTAGGGTTTAGGGTATTCAGGCGTGGGAGCTGAGGGTTTAAGGTTCGGGGGGCACTGGACGTTTCGAAAGAGAGCTCTTCCCAGCGGAGATTCCGAGTTTTAGTGCCGCGAGTCTTCCCGTCGGAGAAGCTCGGAGACTCTCTTCAGGGATCCCGAAACAGATCCTTAATCAAGTCGGGTGCTTCGTCTTCGTAAGTTTCTTGCAATGCCCCACTGACCAACCAGTGTTTGCGAGGAGCCATTGCGCGCACGTGGGAATTCTACAGCCTAGTATCCAGTTGCTCTAAACCCTTAACCCTAAAGGTTGCATATCACGTATGGTGCTCCTCCACCCAAAAAAACACCTTCCTCAGCGAGGTTCCCTGAAAGGTGGCTCCGGGCTGTTATGTCAAAGAACGAGGCGCAGAAGCGCCTCACTGTGATGCAGACAGCTGCACTATCCCTGAGGGTTGCAGCCAAAGACCTAGAACCCCTAAACACCCCATAAACCCAATATTTGACCGTTTATATATACTATATACATATACAATTATATATAGATAGATAGATAGAAATATATATATAAACGATTAAAGCCTGAATCACTGAAAGCCCGATAAGCCCAATCAAAACCATAAATACATAAGAAAAAACAAATAAGTAAATGTATATATATATATATATATATATATAGACATACATACATATATGTGTATAAAAAATAGATATAAATATTTATATATACATAGATACATATATATATATATATATAACATAGGCAACCTGTATATCGAAACCCAAACATCGTATCATGTCACCTGCTTGAGCCCTGCGAGCCTCAGGGTTTGGCTTGAAGGAAGAAAACATGCCGGCTCAGGGTTAGGGCTGAGGGTTTAGGGTTTAGTTTAGGGTTTATAGGTTTAGGGTTCTGGGTTGATTATAGGGTTTTTTTGTTGGTGTTGCTTTGAACTTTTTTACAGTTGGCAGTAAGATAATACTTAGGAAGCAAAGGATGAGAAACGTCAGGCCAGAAATGTCATGTGTTCACCCCCCAAGTGACCTAGTGATCTCAGGAATGAGAAGGAGGTCAACAGCTCAACTCAAACTCCACATTGAGTTGCCTGTTTATTCAGGTCAGGGTTGACAACAGATGACCATATGTTATGGTGATTTCCATACCTTGCTGCCGCTACACGACTGTGGCCCGGATCACTCAACAAGAACCGATGTCTAGTAATGCGGGGATTCCGCCGTGCATGCAGAGTGAAGAATCCGCGGCCAAGTCCAAGGCCCGAGGCTCTTCCTAAACACCTCGCCGCAGGCGCACCCACCATCTCTATAGGTAGACTCTAGCCAGACCCTCACAGAGTTCACCGGTTTAGGGTTTAGGATCTAGAGTCTAGGGTTTTCTGTTTAGGGTTTGGGGCGGAAACTCTATGTCACGTTGAAGAGAACAGTTTAGACCTGGCACCATGAGCGGCGATGGTGGCCTGTCGTTCGGAGCCGCCACCGAGGGTTACGAAGATGATCCCCAGGTGGGCTCAGGGCTTGTTTTGTTCTAGGGTTTAGGGTTTGGGGTTTAGGGTTTAGGGTTTGGAGTGTGGGCTTTTTCGGGCTTACAGGGCTTATACTGTAGGGTTTAGAGTTGGAAATTTTGGGCACGGGCACCTCGCAAGTCGAGCTTTGAAGCACCCCACGATGGAAATGAAGGTGGTCTCTCTAGGCGAAGTTCTCTCCTGAAAAAGGGAAGAAATCCTGGGATCCAAAAAACCTTTCTGAAGAAACCAAAGAAACGTGGACTTGTCACTTATGGCTCAGGGTCTAAAGGAAAACCCATGTCAAGATTGCCAGGTTCTCAGGGTGGTTTTCCAGGAGACGTCACGAAACACCATACTGCACGCACGTCTGTTACAGAAAGTAGATTTCATGTCGTCGGCCATGGCCAACTGGCGCTGAATCACTGGATGGATCGAGATGAAGCAGAACGCCTGGAGATGCGTCGGAAGGGTATCTGTTTTTGGTACAATACCGGTGAGAACTGCAGGTTCGGTGATGACTGCAAATTTATCCACACAAGACAAAAAATGGTGCTGAAGTCGTTTTGGTGCAAGTACTATGTTGCTGGGAGAGATTGTTTTGCTGCTGAGAATTGCCGATACTCGCACGACACGGCTGGAGTGGTCTGCACAAAGTTTCGGAACAGTGGAATGTGCCGTCGTGGGGACCAATGTGTCTTTGTACACGAGCGAGAAGTGGCAGAAGACGCGGAAGTTCCACAAGGAAAAAGCATTATTGAAGATGAGGTGAAAAATGCAAGAAGAGGAGGAAAACAGGTGGTGCAAAGGACTCTGGTCCAGTGGTGGTGGCTATTCCAAAGAAGAGGCCCAGGAATACAGAAAAGCCTGTGATGTCAAGGGCGCGGCCACCAAAGAAGACTGAGGGTTCGGAAGGCAGTGATGCGCCTCTTCGGGGTGTAAAAAGAAAGCCTGTGTACTCGGCGATCAAGCGTCAGAAGAAGGAGAAGCCGCCGAGTCCCATGAAGAGAAGCGCTGCGCCTGCGAAAGCTCCTTCAAAAGGTCTCTCTACTCCTGCGGTTACCAAAGAATCTGGAAATGTTTCTCTTCGTCTTGCGCAAGCATGCAAGGCTGTGGACGAGGCAAGAAGAGAGGGAGTGGTTACATCAATCCAGAGGTGTTTGACAGATCCGCTGGTGGGAATCGAGGACTTGGAGGATGTTTTGGTGCGTCTTCACCGGGTTTGCGAAGCTCGACGTCTGGAACTGGAAAAGGATTGACTGCTATTCAAAAGTAGGTGGGCTGGTTGTAACTGGTTGTATACACACGCTGTGGTCTGTCTTCGTGCGTCGTTTTTCCCTGTCTGAAGTGGCTTATTACGCTGGGGAACACTGTGACAAAGGTGAAAGAGGGAAGAAAAAGACCGCTGTGTCTATCAGGAAAGACCAATGTGTCTGGAAATGAAGCGGATTGTAAGGTTTAGGCCTCCTTTAGGGGTTGGTATATCCTCAATGGTGAACAGAAAACGCCCAATGTGGTGTGATATGCTCAATGAAGCATCAAGAGCTAAGCGCTCTACTCGTCCTGGATGACGTTAAACCATATGTTTCACAAAGGCAAATGTGTAAAGAACCAATGGCTACGGCCTGTCCCTCGCGACGTTAAACATGTTATGGCTGCTGCCAATTGTGCAGTTTTTGGCCACTGAAGCCATCTCCAAACAATGTCCCAGAAAAATTTGGGACACGGGGAGTGCGGAGATGGGAAAGGATTCTTGAAAGGTTGAGACAGGGCAATGTCCCATTGACTTGTGGCTCAAGGATGGCCACTCGCCGTCCAGCAACAACAAAGTTGAAGCGCCTGGGTTTGGGGTTCAGGAACAACAGCAGTCCTTCCCCTTCCCTCCTGGTGAATCTTACCTTCGTGTTTGCGTGGTTCGCTCTGGGGAGTTTATCTAGGCAACTGTTGAGGGTTGATACCCTGGCTTGTCCCCTTTCGGTTGCCCCCGTACCCTAAACCCTAAACCCTAAACCCTAAACCCTAAACCCTAAACCCTAAACCCTAAACCCCCATATACGTACACAGAGCCCGGAAGAGGCCGTTGCAGATGGAATCTGTCCCCTGACAGGCCAGACTGTGTAACGAGGTCTGCGTGGAGGCTGCGTGCGTTGGAAAGCTGCAGGGAATGGCTTTGGGGCTTCGGGCTCCTCTGCATACGGTTTTTGAGTTTAAAGGTTTAGCACCGACCCTGCTTTGTGGTCCTGCTTCTGTTTTTGTCAGTGCCGAAATCTACCGAGGACGCACTTTGTACCTGCTCTCTGAAACCGACTGCAGCTGCTACGTCCTGCTAAATCCATTGGAACACTGAGTCGCAGAGGTCAAGAGCAGGTAGGTCGAACGCAGGTCACTCTGTTCTACAGCAGGAGTCATGATGACTCGTCCACGGCAGGTTTTCAAGATCTTACAGGACATGAAGAACCCGGTCATGGCGTCCGAGAAGGGCTTGTACGTCTTCGAGATAGGCGGGCATGTTGGCATCCTGCACACCCGAGCCCAGACACCACAACTGCTTCTCCAGAAAAGAAACCTGAACCCTAACTTAAACCTTATCAGTCCTAAACCCTAAACCCTAAACCTTAAACCCTAAACCCTAAACCCTAAACCCTTGTCCAGGCTCTGGAACTGGCGGAACTTCATCCTTCGTCCTGCCGGTGCTGAACCCACACAGTTCGAGGCATGGTGTGCTCTGCAACCAGGGTTTAGGGTTTAGGGTTTTGGGTTTTGGGTTTTGGGTGTAGGGTTGAGGGCTTGGGGTGGCTGGGCTTACAGGATTTTCAGGGCTTGGGGTTGAGGGCTTGGGGTGTCGTGCCCAGGGTTGACATCCTCTTCATGGTCCACTGCCCGTTCATTTTGCAATGCAGCTTCATGACTATCGCGACGTCGTGCTGATCGCTATGATCATTGAGCTTGCATTCCTATTCTTACTTCTTTGTACTTCGTCTCGTTCCTAGGTTGGCTTCGGGGATATTCTATTTTTCCTCATCTCGGTTTGTAGGGGACCTTGCATACCAAAAAAGTTCAAACGGTTTAGAGGCCAGCCCAGGTTGTGCCACCTTCTTAGTTGGTTCTTGGAGGATCCTCAAGTCGAAAGCGTGGCGAGGTACGTGTTCAGCGATCTCTCGCAAGCCTTCCTCACGAACGCCCGGGCGCGATTCTCAAGGCGGGGGCGCTCACTCTGAGAAGCAGGCTCCGTGGGCTCAATCAGGAAGACTATAGGGTTTATGTTCGAGGCTTCTGCAGGGATTTTGAGTTCCCGCGTACTGAAGAGAACCGCAATATCATAGGATCCCTTCCAAGAATAGGAAGAGCACCCCCCCGCCCTTTTGGGAGATCAGCCTATCTCAACTCTTAGTCTGTTGCGAATGGTTTGTACGTACCTGTGCTGGGCTATGCACCATACGGACCTAGGAACTGTCCAAATTCCATGGGGAACCCAAGAATGCTGAACCCGAAACTCGAAACCCGAAACCCCAACCCGCAAACCCTAAACCCTAAACCCTAAACCCTAAACCCTAAACCCCTGTCCAGCTCCACCCTGCAACCCAGAAATGGCGGCAGGTTCTCGTTCATAGAGTATTCCATCTTCAATGGCGACAAGCACCCCGGGGATCAGGCTCTCTGGCTGTCTTGGCATGTGCTTCTTGCGGTAGGTATTCTACCTTCAAGCCACTTTAGAGCCTACCATGAAACACAGCACAGCATAGAACCCTAAGCCCCACCGAAGCTGCAGCAAGAGGTTCAGCCCTTTGTCTCTCAGAGCGTCTGCAGTACGCAAGCGCCCCAGGATCCACAATCGAGCCCGAAGTATTCTGGAAACCCTAAACCCCAAACCCACATGAAATGAAACTCGGCGCCCCTACACCTTCAAAGCCTCGTAGAGTCCCGAAGCCTCACGGACCTCAACCGGACCAGGGCTTCAACAGCCATGAGATTAGCGCCATCCTGGCCACCAACGCCACTGGGCAGAAGGAGTGATACAATAATATGGGCGGCGGCATTTTGATAAACAATGCCTGTATGCATATATACATATATTTTAAGGGCTGCGCCCATGGGCGGGCAGCGCACGCAGAAGCCCGGGGCGAGCAGTTTCTAAGCATGTTGAGGCCCCTAAACTCCCTTAAAATCTCTAAGCGTTAAGTTTCTAAGCATTTTCAGGCCCCTAAACTCCCTTCAAATCTCTAAGCGTTTGAGGCTCCGAGACTCCCTTAACGTTTCTAAGCACTTTATAAGGCCCCTAAACTCCCTTTTTCCTAGCCCCGGGCTTAGACACGTCGCTTATGCCCGCCCTTTGGGGGGCATCATGCTCCTGATGCCCCCCCGCGGTCCCGCCCCGGGAGCCGCTGATGCTCCTGATGCGCGCCTGGGGGTCCCGGGCTGGACCCGCTGATGCTCATGATGCGCGCCCTCTGGGGGCCTCCGTGGCGACGCAAAAAACCACGAAAAAAAAACCGTTCACCGGCGGCACGCGGGGGTCGGCGGCACTGGCGTCCGGCCTAATTCTGCTTCGCAGAAGGCCAGAGGCCAGCAAGGCTATTCCCGGGACGACCCGGGCTAAAAGGTCCGCATTTGCTCGGTCCTTTGGGGACCTCGCGCTGCCCGATTTAATGGCTACCGCCAGTGCCGCCGACCCCAGACCCAAGACAGTCGCATTGGGGCGGAAGGCAGGGTGGAGCGGGGGTGGGGGGTGTGGGGGGTGACGGTGGAGGGTTGGGTCGGATTAGGGAGTGTGGGGGGTTAGGGAGTTGGGGGCGGAAGGCAGGGGTGGACTGGGGGGCATAGAGATGAAGAAGCGATGAGAGCGGTGAGAGCGGAGGGGGCGGTCGGATGGTGCACGATGGTGGGAGGGGGTAATGATGAGGGCTGGGGAGGGTTGGTGGGAGGGTTCGGAGTGGGAGTGGGAGTGGGAGAGGGTGGGGCGGAAGGCAGGGTGGAGCGCGGCGGGTGGACAGGGGGTGGGTGGGGGGGGGGTGGGGGGGGGGTGGGGGGGGGGTGGGGGGGGGGTGGGGGGGGTGGGGGGGGGGGGGGAGTGGGGGGGGAAGGTGGGGGGGGGGGGAGGTGGGGAAGTGGGGGGGGGGGGGGGGGGGGGGGGGGGTGGGGGGGGGGGGGCGGGGGGTAGGGGGGGGGGGGGCGGGGGGGGTGGGGGGGGGGGGGGGTGGGGGGGCGGGGGGGGGGGGGGGTGGGGGGCGGGGGGGGGGGGGGGGGGGGGGGGGGGGGGGGGGGGGGGGGGGTGGGGGGGGGGTGGGGGGGGGGTGGGGGGGGGGTGGGTGGGGGGGGGGGGGGGGGGGTGGGGGGGGGGGGGGGGGGGGGGTGGGGGGGGGTGGGAGTGGGGGGGGGGGTGGGGGGGGGGGGTGGGGGGGGGGGTGGGGGGGGTGGGGGCGGGTGGGGGGCGGGGGGGGGGGGGGGGTCGGGTGGGGCGGGTGGGGGGGGGTGGGGGGGATATATGGAGAGAGAGAGAGAGAGAGAGACGTATATCAGTGCAAGTTCAAGTAGTAGTTTCTTTCTTCTCGCGGCGGGCTCGATGAAGAACTTGACGAAAGTAAGATCTGCGGCATTGGGCATTGAGCAGTTTGAAGAGGTGATAAGCCCTCCGAAGCCCCCTAAACCCTAAACACTAAACCCTAAACCCTAAACCCTAAACCCTAAACCCTAAACCCTAAACCCTAAACCCTAAACCCTAAACCCTAAACACCTGGAGGTGATCCATGCCACGATGCACCTGGCCTCCACCATGGCTACCATCCACGTGCTGCTGCGGCCAGGGGGGCACATCGTCTTCAACGAGGCCAACCTTCGAGGGTTTAGGGTTTAGGGTTTAGGGTTTAGGGTTTAGGGTTTAGGGTTTAGGGTTTAGGGTTTAGGGTTCAGGTGGTTAGGGCTGAGGGCTGCAGGCTTTAGGTGGCAGGGCCTTGTAGGGCTTATGGGGCGTGAAGGGTCTCAGCTCTTGGGGAGGGGGGTCAAGGGATGCAAAAGACAACACCTGGGTTGGGTTGGGGTCTAAAGCTTATGAATAGTACGCTTGGGGTTCCTTACAGACAAACATAAGTACGTTGACCCTAACAGTTAGTTACAGTCACACTCCGTTTTTATTGATGTAGGGCCCACCTCAGATTGGGGTTTCGAGGCAGAACAAAGGGGCAACTAATCAGTGTTTTGGGTTTCGGGTTGACGCGGTAGAGTTTGGACCCTATAGAGCGTGGAGAGTCTTTTTTTCGGCCTTCGGGGCGTTGGGATCTGGGGCATTAGGCCTAGACTTCTTTGGCGTTAGGACTCAAGGGGCTTAGATGTATCGGGCCTGGAGCTTAGTGAGTCTAAGCTGTGTTCAGTTCAGGACTTTAGGGGGGATAGTTGGCAATGGGCTCTTTTATCTGTTAGGTCTAAGTTAGGGAAGGGTTGGGCTGACATTTCTGCTGGCAGGTGCAGAATCCAGGCACCCTCGGCGAGGACTCAGGGCTTTGCCTTCAAGAAGCCACTCCAAGCGAAGTTTCCGGCTTGGGGCTTCGGGTTTCAGAGCTTTAGGGCTTCGACGTTGTGGTTTTGGGAGTTATGCAAGAACTATGCGTGACACGCGTTTTCTGTGTTATCACCAGGACCTCACCTACGGCCTAACGGATGGATGGTGGATGCTGACGGACACAGAGAGGCCTCCCTACGCCCTACGCTGTTGCACAATTGGTCGGGCTGTTGAAAGCAATTGCAGCAGCGTCTGGCCAACATGGTTATCATGCTTGTGGCTTTTCAAAGCCCAGAGGGTCCATTTGTAGTACCATTATGGAATTAGGTACCCCAAAGCCATTTTTAGTATGGGTTCTTGAGCACCTAAGTCCATAATAGAACTACACATGGACTCTTTGGGAAGGGCATCTTGATCGTAGCAGCAATTTGCTCCGAGGCGGGTCACATATCCCCTGCTTCGAGTAGCGGAGTGGTCGACCCTCTTCACACAGTGTGGCTTCAAGAACGTGTGGCACACGCCCGATGAGGCGCGCTTGGTGCGAAAGGGGGAGTGGTGGAATCGAGTGGTGGAATCCCGGGGTGCAGGTGGGCTTAATCCGGCTTGCAACCGACGTTGTTTTCTGGATCTCTTCGGCCAGCTTTGTTCTGAAGTACAAGTGTTGGAAAACAGAAGCATATATATGCAAAGGTGCTCTTGCAAGGCTTTGTAGACCCGATTAAGGATTGAATACCTTTCAGCTCCGAGCCAGCCTTACACTCGAAACCACTTTAAACTTACGTATCGCCTAGTACACCTCAGCTGGAAGCCCTTCATACCCACCGGCCATTCTTCACGGCCAGGGCCATATCTTCAGCCAGCAAGCCATCCTCGTCGCGCAGTGTGGAACCTTAGCCGGGGCCTCCATTTTCAAGTCGCCATGGGGGCCTTGGGGGTTTCAGGGTTCAGGATTTAGGGTTTAGGGTCTAGGGTTTAGGGTCTAGGGTTTGTGGAGCTCTAGGTGGTTTCAAACTTCGACAAGAAACAGGGCTCCCAACAAGAGGTGCGAACGCGGGTAGGGGGGAGCTGGTAGGCCCGTTGCCACCATTGCCATTTTCCTTCCGCCTCTCCGAAGTCCCTCATGCGAAAATGAAACCCTACTCTACTTCAGCCACCTGACACAAACCCTCAAACCCTAAACCCTAAACCCTCAAACCCTAAACCCTAAACCCTAAACCCTCTCAACCCTCACCTCTTGCAAGCCCTCCAGGTGAAGCCCACCTACCTCAGCCCGGAGCCACTAGTCCGGGCCGATCCCAACGCGACGGGGCCTCAGGTTTAGGGGATAGGGGGATTTAGCGTTTCGGGTTCAGGTTTTTTTTCGATGAGGGGGGTGGGGGGTTGGGATTTGGGGAGGTTGGGTTCTTCTGTTATGCTTCGGGGTTTTGAGAGATTTGCGGGGTTACTGCGTGCATCGTGGTGCAGGATGTAAGTCCGAAGGCGGTTTTCAGCACGCGCCTCTGGCTACTGCTGCATCTTCTACAGCATAGCCCTCCGTTGAGCCCTACAACCTTGGGGGAAGGTTTCTCAGGCTCTTGGGCATGCCCTGGATCCTAAATACCCCAACCCCCTAGTGCCCAAAGCCTACACAAACCCTACAAGTCCTACATACACCCTGTACAGGCCCTCCACAACCTGAACCCTAAACCTTAAAACCGAAACCCTAACCCCTAAACCCTAAAACCTAAACCCTGAACCCTAAACCCTGAACCCTGAACCCTACTACGCGCACCCGGAGGTCCTACCTGATCACGGGGGCGGTGGGCGGGTTGGGCTTGATCACTGCCCTGATCCTCCTGGAGTGGGGCCTGGGGGCCCCAGGATGTTTGGGGTTCCGGGCTTAAGGTTGGTGAAGTATAGGGTTGAGGTTTTAGGTTGTCAGCGTTCAGGGTTTAGGGGTTTAGGGTTGAGGGTTTAGGGGTTTGCCCCTCAAAGTCCGAAACCCTGTCATGGCAGGCTTGGGTTTGCCCGGGTTTTCAGCTTCATTGGCTGCTGGAACTGAGGTGCTCGGCATCTCTTCTTCGTGTCACGGCGAGATAAGGCCGGGCAAGCTGCAGTTGGGGGAGTTGGGTTAGGTGTTCTGGTCTGGGGTAGAAGCTTCAGGGCCTTTTGCCTAGCCGAGGTTGGGTTTCAACCGCCCGTCAGGTTTCCCGAAACCCTGAGCTCGCACACTGACGGCCCTGGCGAGAGGTGCCGGATGAGGCGATGGTGTACTACGCACAGATCGTGCCCGGCTGAGACTGCTGAGTTGCAGCTTGGGGTGGGAAGAATCCTTTGCCAAGCCCAGCTTCGCATGGTGATGGCATCGCAGGCTTGAAGAGTTCGGGAGAGCAACAAACGGTGCATGCTTCCGGTGCTTGTTTATGCGATGAAGACTCCCTAGGAGAAGTCCAGTGCCCACATCCGCCGCGAGAAGTGCCCAGGGCTCAGTCAATCTCTCGGCAGTTGTCTTTTCGGGAACATGTATACGCTTTGTTTTGCCGTAGAAGAATAGGTATACTGGGTGTAGAAAAACTTGCAGTCATGCAGAAAGACTGGTGCTTGTGTCAGACTAAGCACATGCGCGTGCATGAAGCCTCTGAGGCAACGTAGCCGACCCCACGCAGATCGCGCGGCTCTTTGAGGAAACCCCCGAGTGGCCGGCCTGCGCCAGGGCCCTCGGCGTGCTTGCAGAGTGGCCTAAGCCTTCGGCCCCAAAACCTCAAAAATTAGAGTCAAAACCCCTTCAACCTCAAGCCCTAAGGTTGAGCTTTGGTAGGGTTCGGGGTTTGGGATTTAGGGCTTAGGGTTTAGGTTTAAGGTTTGGGCTGTGGGATTTGGATTCAGGGCTGCAAGATGGCCTGCAAACCCTCAGCTCCTACACCCAAGATCCTAAGCCCCAAAGATCCTAAACCCTCAACTCAGCAATCAGCCCCGGGCCCCAGGGTCATAAACAGCCCCGAATTGTCGAACCCTAAGTGCCCTTATGGGGGCTTATAGGGCTTCGTGAGGCTTCTTGGAGATTGGGGCCTCAGAGCCATCCCTGAGAAAGGCTGGTGTAGTTCACGCTGCCGGAGTTCTCTCAGACGGCACCATCACCAAGCAGACTCGGGCCAAGTACGAGGAGGCAGAGGGTTTGCATAGGGTCAGTGAGGGAGATGCGGTCACACATAATATGGGGTTAGGATTTAAAAGTTTTTAGGTTGTTTCGCTTTCTCGTTGACGGTGGGATTCTGCGACCTCCTGAATCGCACAGAGACGTGTGCCTTCACCGATGTGATTGTATATGTGATGTGACGAGTACAGCTGAAGAATATGCATGGAAGAGCCCAAGCACATCATGCGCGACAGCAAGCCGCGCAGAAATTCCATCCCAACTGCATTCTTCACACCTTCCAAGCCCTGCAGCCTGCCTCGCTGAAGTCGGACCCAGCCTTTGGGTTGAGCTCTTACATCTTAGGAATTTATGATCCCGGATCTTGAAGGTTGGGCTCTTCAGCATCTCTGGGAACGCGCAGGAAGGAATCTGTTGCTCAGGCACCCTTGACCTAGAAGCTTGGCCCTGACAGCAGATGGCCGAGTCCGAAACATCGTCGCAGCAGTCGACGATGCCTAGCCGAGCGGAAACTTGCTTTGAATGCTATGTCCAAGTACGCCTTCAACAGACGGCCACGATCAAGGAAGGCCGCTTCAGGGTGCAATGCCGCCGCTGCGGTTCGTGCTTGTATGCGTGTGAAGATCACTGGCAAGAAGTACATTGCCTGCAATGTGGCCCTGCAGCCCCTCACTCGCGCAAGCAAGATGCTTGGATTTGCAGAAGTGCCCCCCACCCCCCCCCCCCCCCCCCCCCCCCCCCCCCCTCATGACAAGATCTTGAGTTGTCCCTTCTTCAAAGACTCTGCGAGAGCTCGTCCTTTTGGTTACGATGTCCTCTTCCCCCATAAGCCCTGGACCCGAGACCCCAGACCCCTAACCCTGAACCACGCGCCGTTCCAAGGACAGCGACTTCTCACCCAAAACTGCGACGTCTGCAGATCCTTTCTTCGGGCTGCTTTCGCCGGTGCCGGGCCTCGAGAAGCACGGCCTTTGAAAGGGGCGGCTTTTTGTTAGGGGGCTAATAGGTGTTTATCACTTTTTATTAGCCAAGTGCAGTGTTTAAGAAAGAAGGGAATTGTTAGAAGCATGGGCTTGAGGAAGGTTTTGAGGGCCGGGTTTCTTGTATCCAAAAATTCTTTATCGGATTTTATAGGGTGTCGGTTCCAAACGATGTGTCGGTGTCCGGGCCAGACTGCGGTTGAGGGAACTGGGGCTTAGGATATCAGGTATCCTCAACAACCAGACCTTCTCATGAAGCTCCCAGATGCTAAACCCTAAACCCTAACTAAATCCTGGTACAGTTAAATGTGGTGGCCAAGACTACGCGGTATGTGGATGTGCCCGGTAGCCCAGCAACCCGGGCCAAGGAACATCTGTGTGTTTCATGGCTTGCGTCCAGCTTTTGACATTCTTCTTCACTAAACTCTAGGTCCTTAACCCGCGTCAACCCCTGAACCCTACACCCTGTAAAGCCAAAGACCTCAACACTGCGCTTGTAACCTCCAGCCTCATAGTCGCCGCTTGGCTTGATTCAGGAAGTGGCTCAGCGAATGTGCTCTGGCGAAGTACATGCAGGCAGCGTCGTTTTGGTGCTACGAGAAGCTCAGCCAACATAGCAGGCACATTGCGGCATTTTTGTAGTAAGAAATTCTTGGCCTTCTCCAATCCATGTGGCCTGATCACCTTTAATGATTTCAGGCTGACATGTTCGTTCCCTTGCTCTTTGAGAAATGAGGGTTTAACCCTAAACCCTAAGCCCGAATTTCTTAAACCCCCACACCAGGAAGGGCGTCGCCAGTTTGGAGGAGATCGTCCAGCATTTGGACGAGCTTGCGGATGCATCTCGCTGTTGGATCATCGGGCGCAGGGTTTCCAATTACATACCGCACGAAGCATATAAATCTGGTGAGGCTTCCTGGTTGACGTTGAGTGATTAGAGTGCACGGGTTCTTCGGTGCTCGTCAAAAGTGCGAGTCGATGAGCCCAATCGGTCAAACATGACCGCTGCAACCTAATCACACAACGTCTCCCAAAACTTGAGAGCTATTGGTTGTTTCAACTGTGCTGTGCAACCAACATGGTCTGTTGTCCAAGGAGCTGTCCTTGAAGGACTTTGAGAAGCTTCGCCTTCTCCAGGGAGGCCCAGGCTGGGAAGGATGGCGAGAGTTGATGAAACGCAGGCTGACGATTTTCCCTGGCCCGACCCATATGACGACGAACATGGGGCCGAATATGGTGATGATGGTCTTGCCGACGATGCTGCCGACCACTATGAACCATCCGACCAACATGATGATTGGGACGGGTACGAAGCCTCCGACCACGAGGTCTTTCATGACGATGGCTACGACAGCCCTGACATAAGCGGCTGCGGTGGCTCTGATGTTGAGTAATTATGCAGCTTCCGACCATGGTGATTTTTTGATTAGTGTGCCTAGGCTGACTGATTGGTGAGCATGCCTGCGAAACAGGCAGATGTGGAAGGCGGCTGGCAGTACTCAAGGGCGTATGTTTTTAAGGCATGTTTCCCTGGAAAACCCTAAGCCCTGAACCCTATGTTGGGCGGACTCCTGCTTTCTTGGGGACTTTGAAGTTGTTGTCGATCATGTAGGCGACCGGCTCCTCCGATGATTTCGTTTTATGTATTCAGGGTCACTGGTGAGTCGGGCGTGCAGGACGCCGCCCATCTTGCTGCATGCTTAGGAACCTGCGTGACCGCATGTCACATATTGCAGACCCCTGGTTGAAAAACTCTGGTTTCAGAAGTTAGGCCACGTGATCAAAATTTGCCCAAAAAGAATCACATGTGACAAGCTCCAGCGGTTGTGCCTACAGCTGTAGAGTGCCTCGTGCGTGGTGAATGCCATGCTGAGGCAAAGGTGGCGCTCCCACACGAGTTGCAGCCAATATTTCAACGCAGAAAAACCATGGTGGTGGGTTCGCCCGTAGTACCCAGCTCAATGAGCCTGGGCATCTAGGGACCCCACAAGCTTGTCTTATGTGACTTCGTTCCTGCATCCAAGGGGCAGTTTGAGCATGTCTTAGCTTCAGAAGCAGTTTGAGCTTCCCCACAAGATGCGAAGGGCTTCTAGGGCGAGGCAGCAATGAGTTGAGTAGAGCCGAACCTTGGGAGCTGTTTAGGAGTTTAGGCACTTGGGAACGACCATAAAGGAAACCGCTACACTACCCTACTAAGCCCAGAGACCGAACCCAACACTTTCCGTGTTGATAGGTCTTTGGTCCTAAGCTCCACGGATGCTACTACCTGTTCGAAGCTCAGCTTGTTTGCTCACGGCGGCGTCGCTTGAGGGGGGTTCTTGAAAAAGTCTTGGTGGTTTGGTGAGTGTAGAAAAACGTAAGATTGGTGAGTCTATACATGGGGTATCGTTCTGGGTTCTGGGATACTTATATAGGAAACACCCTACTTCATTTGACGTTATTAGGCTTCGGTTATATCTTTTTCGATTTGGGGGTTTTGGGCGTTTGGTTTGGTTTGGGTTTGAAACTTGTTGGCAGTCATTGCGCGTCTGGAACTTTGGCAAGAGTCCGTGTGAGAGATGGATGGCGCCATCAGGGCCCCTGTATCAGGCACGCAGATTCATTTTTCCAAGCTTTTGGCATCAGGCAAAACTTGAGGAGCATCCCAGATGCACTTGCATCTGCATTTGATATGGTTCCGATGTCGTGCTTGGACTGTTTCCACTGCCTGGCTGTTTCTGTACTGCGACACCTTGGTTCTGCTGCCACGTTATGCTGCTCCACTTGGCAACATGTATTCATACCTTCTCTGTCGCATCCAAGTAGCCTGACGTAAATTTGAAACTTCCAACTTCTGCAAGCTTTGTTTGTTTGCTGCGACAGGCATACGGAAGTCTGCGGCGTTCAAGGCGATTGTTCGACCGTTGAGCTGGTCAGCATACCAAAATGCAATGACAAGTGCGGCTACTGCGAAATGAAACATCGCCAGTCGGAAAGTTACCAGTACTGTAGCAGTGTGCAAGTCTTTGCTGATATGGAATGCTATGGTGAATGCACTCTTGTGCACTCCAGAACCCCCTCCCCCCCCCCCCCCCCAAAAGAAAGAAAGAAGAACAACAATAACTAAACCTCTAAAAAGAAACAAATAATCACAACAACAAAACAAAAATCCCAAACAAGAAACCAACATATGGTGCTGAGCCCTTCAATGCGGCATTTGCACACGTGTGTCAGCTCTGGTCGATCCCATGCCCCTAATCCCCTCCCCCTAATATTAAACCCCCCTTACCCCCTAATATTAAAAACCCCCAAATATACTATAATATATCTATAAATGGGGGGGGGGTATTTAATATTAGGGGGTAGGGGGGGTTTAAAATTAGGGGGAGGGATTGATACCCTGAGGCATCGCAGCAGAGGCTATGGCCTGCAAAAGGTACAGGCATCTTCGGCCTCAATTTAAAAGGGGTACTGGGTAGGCCTTTGTGATATTCCCCATATTGGGTTTCAAGAGGATTCTTGTTCAGGAACATGCGTTAGAGGGTTCTATATAGGGGAACTTGAGGCAGTTTTAGGGTAGTTTGCTGAGGAAGGATCGGTTATCATTGCAGGTTGAGGGGTTTTGTGGAGCAGTCCGGCCAGTGGAGGTTAGGGCCAAGGGATTGGGGGTTTGGGGCCCCTGTCCTTTGCGGGGCTATTTGGTTGGTTCCTTGGGCTTTTGCCCCTTTAGACTTCAAAAGGAGTGTCGTGAGACTGCAACACAAGACGGTGCTAGTGCTTCAATTGAGGCACCCCTTGAAACTCCGCAGCCCCACATGCTACAGATTAGGAGATCGAAGTTCCTTACTTTGCTGAAGGTACCTTGACACGTGTAAACATAAAAAGACCACATCAAGGCTCGATGGCTGTGAAAGAGCGCGCCAGGTGAACTTTGTGATGTCATCCATGGCTGGGTTTGGTGGGAGCCCTGGCCAGCCCATCCGGCATGAGTTCGCATCCGTGGGCCAGGGCTTGATATTTCAAGAGCCCATAACCCGAAGGGACCAAAAGAAAGCCCGAGCCCAAGGCCCAAATGAAATCCTAATCTCCCAAGGCCCCCCGGTCCCCCCCCGGTCCCCCCCCAACCCCTCCCACAGAGCGCGCTGCTTGTAAGCCAGGAGCAACCACTCCTGTGGCAACACGGGCATCGAGGCGGTCGTGGACTTTGATCGCAAGATGGGCCTGGCTGGCTCCTCCATCGCCTGGGGCGCTGGGGTTCCCAGCTGTCCACGCGAACCTTATGGTTCACGGGCCTACGGGTTGTATAGGGCTTAAGGTTCGGAGGGGTTTAGAAAGGTTCAGAAAGGTTCGGGGTCTCGTGTGCAGTCCCTTGAAATGCAAGAAGCAAGAGAAGTGAGCAGTCGGGCATTCTACATGCCTTGAACGCCTGCTTTCGACATCGGCACAGGTCATACTTGAGTGTGCCTTAAAGCTCCAAGCTTTCATCCCAAAGAAAACCAAGCTGTGTAGGCCAAACCTGCAGGGGGTCCAGGGGCAAATTGCTGGAAGCAGACTAGCCCTCCCTGCTTGAAAAGGCTGTTGCAGAAGTGGGCCCGGGGCTTGGCAGATGTGCTCAGGACGGGGAGAGAGGTGCTACCGGAAATTTTGGGAGGGTCCCGAGCGCTTATGGAGTTTAGGAGGGCCAACCCTAAAAACCCTCCAACCCTAAACTCAGGTTACGCAGCGAGACACTCACTCGCCGACCACGCCGGCGCCGTCCGCTTCGAGCATGCCTGGGCGTGCATCGAGGCCCTACGGCCTTAAAGCGTCAAGCCCTGACGGGCGAAGCCCTGAAGCAACGAAAGCCGCTGAATTGCTTGCTGCACCTGAATTAAGGCTCTCAACCCCCCCCAAGCCCCTTGCTAGACACACAGCAACACATCTCGAGGTACAGACACCTGGCATCACTATGCCACTATGCCAATCTTGAACATATATCTCAAGCTGAAGTCGGTTCGCAAAGGCATTGAGCCCATGAAAGCCCATGGAACCTTCAGTTGCACTCTAAATTCCTCTAAGCCCTAAAGCCCTTACAAGACTTAGTCGTCTCAAGCAGACGGCCCGAATCCCCCCCCCCTCCAGAAGTTAGTTTCCGAGCCTACCTTCAAATTGAATTACACCCCTAGGCCCTAAGACCCCCTGTGCCAGGCGGTGCTGTACAGACCCTACCTGAATGTTGGCATTCAGCCGCAGGCCGGGTTCTTTCAGGGTTTAGTTTCTAGGGTTTAGGGTTTAGGGAGGGTTTTGTTTGGGCTGAGGGGTTAGGTTTTTGTGGGGGGTTTAGGGCTTTAACGGGGTAGGCTGTGCGGTCCACACCCTCTTCCCCAAGCCTTAATCTACCAAAAAAGTCATCCCCCCCCCAAGCCCTAAACCCTACGCATGCCCAACACCCTAGGGACCCCACACCCCAAACCTTAAACCCCAAAAGAAGCCGACAGCTCCAATGAGACGGGGCATGTGGTTGACCATCCCAGAGTCCTAAAACTCTAAAACCCCTTTGCCCTCACTCCTTTGTCGTGCTTTACTGTAACTTTAGATCCTTCGCCTTTTTTGGGTTTATTGGGTTTCTGAATAAGGCAGCTAAAAAATTGATGTATAGCTACCCTCCTAAGTGCAGCCAAGACTCCTTAAGACCCTTGGGGTTTAGGGCTTCGGGTTTAGGACGTATGGCTTGGATCCTGGATCCCTAATCCCCAGACCCTGGACCTGAATGCCCAAACCTTTTCGCCCCAACACCCTGAGTCCCTGAGCCCTCAAAGCCATGTTCCAATGCGCAAGTTTCTCTTGGTACCTCTGTTGTTCACCCCCTGTAGCATTTGGAATACAGAGAACCCTGCCGACTACTAGCCAATTTCGCGATGGTTGAAAGGTAAATACACTAACTTCTAAACCCCAAACCTTAAACTCTAAACTTTAAACCCTACACCCTAAACCCTAAACCCCAATCCCTAAACTACCCTAAACCCTAAACCCCAAACCCCAAACCCCAAAACCCTAAACCTTACGCACCAAGCCTTCAGAAGTGGGTTCTTCGTGGGCGCGTTTCAACGCCCCCTGCGCCCCGAACTCAGGCTTGGGAGGCCGGCAAGGGGGCGATGGCCATGAAGGCGCTCATCTACGCCGGCCGCGCCCTCAAGGGTTTTCGGGTTTAGGGGGTTTTAGGGGGGGGTTTACGGGGGGGTTTTAATTTGGGGGCGTTTAGTGGGGGGGGGGGGGGGGGGTTTAGGGCGTTTAGGGGTTTAGGGGGTTTTAGGGGGGTTTAGGGGGTTTTTTAGGGGGTTTAGGTGGTTTAGGGCGTTTAGAGGGTTTAGGGTGTAGGGTTGAAGTGGGCCTCAGAAAATCTTGGTTCTTCAAGTCTGGCGTGGGTGCGGGCGGTGATTCGAAAGGTTTGAAGGTTTAAGGTTTGGGATGAGGATCTGGGTGACCTTCCTATCATCTCATCCGTCACAAGGAAGGACATCAAAGTCAGACAGAGTTTTCTGTCACGATGTTAGGAAATCTATGGTTAAATGCTCTTGGTGCACAATTAGTGGCGTAAAGCCCCTGTGTCTTTTAAAAAACTGATCAACCCTACACACCCTAATACAACCTCTCCAGCTCCCAGAGAGAGGTCTGGCCGGCCGCTTCAAGAAGATGGGATTCCGGAGGCCAAAGGCCCGCGCCCTGTGAAGAGCTGCTTACGGGGGTTCAGGGTTTAGGGTTTAGGGTTTAGGGTTTAGGGTTTAGGGTTTAGGGTTTAGGGTTTAGGGTTTAGGGCCTCAGGCAATCGGGTTCTAAGGTGTGGGGATATTGTTTGGGTTTCGGGTTTGGAGTTAGGGGTCCGGATTTGGATTGTGTATGGTTTCGTGTTAAGGGCTGTGAAAGGAGGTTCCCTCTAGGGCTGAAGACGATTCCGAGGGCTTCGTAGGCTTTAGGGTTGTTTTCTGGCTGCCGCAATGCGAAGGTTCAAGTCAACCCGAAACCCCTTCAACCCTCAACCCTAAACCCCAAGTCCTAAACCCTAAACTCAAAACCCTGTAAACGCCAAACCCCAAGTCCTAAACCCTGATAAGCCGCAGCGCTGTACGCCCAACTCTTCACAGCCCACCGGCAGTAATTTTACTGCAAGTGATATCTCTAAGGTTACTACACACCCTAAAAGGCCAAAGGCCTTCTTTAAACCGCCCGAACCCTAAACCCTAAACCCTAAACCCTAAACCCTAAACCCTAAACCCTAAACCCTAAACCCTTGAAGTTTTGTGCTGCAGGCAGCTGTCGAGGCGCCTGCGGAGGGAGGTGGTCAGGAGATGGTCCAGGTGGCTGCTGCATGTTTTTTTTTACAGAGTGGGGCGTTTAGGGTTTAGGGTTTAGGGTTTACGGTTTACGGATTAGGGTTTAGGGCGTTTCTGTTTTCGATTTGGGGGCTTGTGGGTGTTGCGGCTTAGGGTAGAATACCAAGGGCAAGAGGCTGGAGTTGAAGAGGCTTGTGGGTTAGGGCTTTAGGCATTGCACGGTTTAGGTTTCAGGGTGTCGGGGTTGGGGTGGTTGAAGGCTGGCGGGCTGGCGTGCTTAAGTAGCTCGTCAAAGGGGCCAACTCCTTGAGCCCGCCGCAGTCGACAACCAAAGGTTACCAGGGGCCCGTTCGACTGAATGTTCGGGGGCTTCACCCAAACCTTACACCTTAAACCCTCAACCTTAAGCGTTCTGAGGCTTTTTGGAAATTTTAAGGTTTGGGATGGGTGGCAGGGTCGAGAAGGGCCGACGGCTCAGAATTTAGGTGCAAATTAGGGAAAATGAAACATATGTGTAAGACATATCTATATATTATAGGCGGGCACGGGATTCAAGACGCCCCTTATTTGCCTGTGACTGTCTACGAAGTGTAGTTTTTCCTCTATTTGCCGTCTGAATCGGGTTCCTTAGAGACTCAAGACAGATTCTTCTCCGACAAAGCCTCGCTGTTGCTTTTCATTAGGCTTTCATTACTAAACCTCCCAAATTACCTCTTCTTGAGCTCTTTGATATGGCCGAATATTTAAGACCCCCCTGGGTTCTTCGCTCATTTCTCCGACAGCAGCTTCACACCATTGAAGATGATGATGTGTGATATGTTGCGATGCTGATCATTTAGTATGGTCGAAGCACTGGGCCTGGAGCCTCACACTTGCAAGCCTAGTTCAATCCAATGAAACTCCAACCCCTGAAATCCAAACAACTGACAACGACACCGCACTTAAGACTTACCAAACACACCTATGCCGGGCGCGGGGCCTACATATTCAGCCTAACCACTTAAACACCCGATTCCGGAAAACAATCGCCTTAGAAACCTCTCTTTTTAATTTAAAACCAAGGGACGTCTTAAATCCCGCGCCCGGCTATATAATATATATATATAGATGTGAATGCAGATACATATTCATCATCTGATATCCTTTAACTACCGTATATCTTATAAGACATATATTATTAGACATAATATACATACGTCTTTGTTCATACTTGTGTTTTGTCCGCAAGAGTGCTTGTGCCAGGTCGATGAGAGGCCACGGGGGACGGTTGACATTGGAATCCAACCCAGTCTTGGTTTGACAGGAGCCTACAGAGCTGCTGCCGCTGCTACTACTACTACTACTACTACTACTACTACTACTACTACTACTACTACAACTACTACGACGACGACGACGACGACGACGACGACGACGACGGAAACCCTGTAAACCCCGAAGCCGATCGTGTCTTGGGCATGCTGCGTGGCCTCGGAAGATAGCACGTCACCCCAACAGCAAAACCCCTAAACTCTCTAAACCCCAATCCCAAAACCCTAACTTCTGTAAACCCCAGAATGAACCCTAAACCACCTAAAATCTAGGAGATCCTCAGCCCAACACTGCACCCCAACCTCGAAGCCCTCGGAGGGCAGCGGAGATGCCGATGGAAATGCAAGGCACCTCTGTTGAGGTTTGGGGATTCGGTTTTTGTGGGCTTACGGAGAGTTTAGGGTTTACAGTGTTAGGGTTTACAGTGTTTAGAGTTTAGAGTCTTTAGGGAGTTTGGAGTGTTTTTTTTTGTGACTTTAGGCCCATCTGTTGGAGCTGGAGGGGGAGCATCGGGTGTTCAGGGGATGGGCCCGGTGAGACGCAGAGAAGGGATGGAATGAGCATGTGGGGGTTTAGGATGGTGTTATATATGATTCTTATTGACTATTGATATATGAATATATATATATATATATATATATACATATTTTGTTGCGTTTTTTTTTTTGGGGGGGGGGCCTGTGGGATGTTCTGCTCCTCGTGCGGAGGTAGGGTGGGTGAGAAGATGGGAGGAGTGCAGATTGCTTCGTAGATTGAGAGCTTTCCGGCGGTTAAGGACGACAGGATGAAGACCACAAGCACAACTGCACACTTTGATGCCGAAAAGCCCCTCGGGCTAGAAAAAACCCACACCCTAAAGCCCTTGAGCTCCCATCGTGAACTTTCTGACTTGCCGTAAGCCCCCCCCCCCCTCTTCTCTGCTGAATTCACTGCCCAAAGCCTCTAAACCCTAAACCCGAAACCCTAAACCCTAATTAACCCCAAACTCCAAACCCCAGACCCCAGAACCCAAACCCCAGACCCCAGAACCCAAACCCCAGACCCCAGACCCCAAACCCGAAACCCCCAACCCCAAACCCCAACCCCCCAAACCCCAAACCCTCCTTCCGCAAGGCCCCGCGCCAGTGCAAGCGAAAGAGCCTGAGGAGGTCAGCGAGCTGCGGATGGCGGAGCAGCGGGCGACGGCCCCAAGAAGAGACTGCCCTAAGCTTCGTTGCCTTATAAGTCTCGGTTTAGGGTTTAGGGGTTTAGGGTTTACGGTTTAGGGTTTAGGGTTTAGGGTTTAGGGTTCTAAGCCTCCCCTTATTGGGGGTTTCCGAAAGGGGTACCCTTTTTGAGGGGTCCCTTTTTTAAGGGGGATTCTGTTCTATTTGGGGTATAACAGGGGTACCCCATTTTCGGGAAATACCCTTCTGGAGGCCTTGTGCAGTAGGGGCTGTAGGGTCACTGCACCCCCTCAGGGCCATTGTTCTTGCAAGCTCTGAATGTAAAGCCCTTAGAGGGTTTAGGGTTTAGGGTACACTCGAATCCCCCATTCATCCTCGAGAGATGGCAAACTCACCCTGCGCCCCCGCAAAGCTTCAAGAACAGGCCACCAAGCCGCATGGTGACACTTTAAGTAAGTGGAGGGCGGCCGGACCCCTCGAGTCATGGAGGCGGTATAAAACTACAGATTAAATCAGGTATGCAAACACCACCCGGGTGGTGGTAGGGGTGGTAGGGGTACGTGGTAGGGGTGGTAGGGGGCCAGGAGGGGTGCTGGTGGTAAATGGCCTTGGCGGCCGCCAGTGGCGGCTGAGGTAATGGAGACCGTGAAGAAGATCCACCGTGCCTGGCAGGCTCTCCAACCCCCCCCCACCTTGCAGTGGGGCACCTGCTTTGGGATTGAGTGAATTTAGTGCTTATAAGGCTTGTTTTGAGTCAGGGCTTAGGGTTCAGATTTCGCGGTTGATGATCAAGACTGTGGGTATGGGTGAGGGTATGGGTGAGCCCTAAAGGCTTGAGCCTGAAGTGCCCCAAATCCTAGAAACTGCGATCCATAGATCCTTTTCTCATGACTTTGACCAAAACTCTGAGGAGCCATAGGGGGTGTGGGCGATGGGCACTGTTGGATAAGCCCCCAAGACCTGAATCTGAAGCTCCTAAATCTCCACCCCAAGCCCGCCCCCCCGCCTGAAGGCTGGCAAGGTGAACGGCAACAATGCCCCTATTCTTGCGGGAGGTGGGATGGCTGGCTCGGGAGTGCCGGGGTTGCGTTTTCGGGTTTGGGGTTTATGGTTTAGGGTTTAATTAGTTATAGGGTTTCGGGTTTAGGGTGATTGTTGCCAGGATTCGTTGGGGCACAGTTTTCAGGCTGTCGGTTTTGGGGATCATTGGGGGGCCGCAGGGTCGATTAAGGGGCTCCGGGGTTTTAGGGGCTTAGGAGATTTTTGGGGGAGGGGTGGGGCGGGGTAGGGCTAGGGCCTAGTTCAGGGCAGTTTAGGGATAAGGCTGATAAGGATTGAGATTGTGGCTCTCTCAGACTCTCAAACTCCTCAGCCCCATAAGCTTTGAACCCCAAGCCCCAGACCGTAGACCTTGCACGGCTCCTTGCGGCGCATGCAGGAGCACTCGAGTTGGAGAACCATGGGCACCAGGACAGACATGAACCCGGGTTTTGGGCGAGTTGTGGGTCGCTAGCGGCGAAGGCCTGCTACATGCAATGTCTGTGCACTGCAAAGCTCAGCCGGAGCACACGGGCAGTTCTCCACTTAAGGTCGAGTTTTCGCATGTTGCAGACTGGGGTACGTACCCAACGTAAGGATCATAGTCCGCATGCTCGCAGGAGAAGGACATGGACAAGCTGGCCCTGGCACCACTAGGTCAGCAGGAGGTATGTTGAGAAGGTGCGTGGCCAGAGGCTACGCACCGGACGATGAGCCCTCTGGACCTGTTGTTTCGGCCATATGTTCTGTAGGTGTTGGGATGGCTGGGAAAGTGGATGAACCCGACGGTAGCCCTAAACCCTAAACGCTAACCCTAAACCCTAAACCTTATAAACCCTACACCCTATAATTAAACCCTAAACCCTGTAAACCCTATAAACCCTATAAACCCTAAACCCTACACCCTAAACCCCATAAACCCTAAACCCTAAACCGTCATGGGCTCTTTTGGCTAGACGCCGTCGCTCCGCTGGGCTGCGGCCAACCAAGGCCTCATCTTCCATCTGTACACACGTCTCAAGAGCTGGAGGATCAGGTGGTCTTGGGCTGTGGAGGGGGGGGGGGCTGAGAAAGGTACGAAAACAACGAAGATCCTACACCCTAGTAAGCCCTACACACCCTAAGCCCTAAACCCAGCAGAGCTTCGTGGCTACCAAAACTTAGCGCTTGGCGGTATTATGGGCTGGTTTGCGAGGTTCTGCATTGACTCCCCAGCTTGGTTCCGGTCATGGAGCTGCCTTTGAAGCTTCCGCGAAAGCCGTGATCCTGGAGATTTCAAGCTGGGTTTAGGGTTCAGGGTTTATAGGGTTTATAGGGTTTGTAGGGTTTATAGGGTTTGTAGGGTTTAGGATTTAGGGCCTCAAAGCCCTCCACTGGACATCTGCGGAAGCTTCGACGAAAGCTCGGGGGCCGAAGGTCCTGTCCAAAGTTGCAAACAGCCCCGACAGGACCTCGAGTGCATCAATTGTGCGGAGGTAGTCCAAACATTTTGGCGTGTTCAGGTTCAGGGGTTGCCGCGACGAATCTGCAAGTTGAGGTTGCTGTTTGGGCTCCTATAGAACCTGGCCCGTCTCAGTTGTTCTTTCCTTGTGGCTGGCGGAGGGTCCTTCGTAGAGCGTCTCTGCGCCAGCCATCTGCCAGCAAACAGGTAGACAGACTTCTGCACTGAGTCGCTGGGTTGAAAGCCTGCTGAGATGATGTCCTTCCGAGTGGCCTTCTTTGCAGCCCTGATGGCCGTGGTAGCCCTTGTGTTGCAGGGTTGTTCGGACAGCACGGACGACGTTGTGGCCGACAGCAACACGACTACCACGACCCTTGAAGAGAAGAACGAGTCTGCTGCGGAGGGCAACGCCACGACCACGCCAGTCACAGACAACAACGCCACGACGACGGTGACTACGACTGTCGCGGAGGGCAATTCAACCACGACCTCGCAGGAGAGCACCACAACGACATCAACTACGGAGGCAGCAGCGGAGGAAGCAAACGCGACCAACACCTCCAACGTGACCCTGCTGCTGTGAGCTCGGCAGCTAGCATGTACAGAGCAGTCTGATGGGTCTGCAAGTCGATATTTTGCGCCAGGCGACGAATGGTCTGCTGGTACTTGTGAAGCGTTCCCTTACGTAGAAACGTGACAGGGGCACGGCATAATGAGGAGAGAAACTCGAAACTACGGTTTCCCATGCAAGCCATGCACGGACAAAACAGGCTGCCACATGCACGATCACATGAATGGGGTGCCACAGTGTGGGTGTGGGTGTGTGTCTGTGTGTGCCTCGTTCAGCACCATCGGTTTCAAGCAGAGAGTACTGCACATTGCTCGGTTTTTTGAGCGAGGAAAGAGAATGCCATCCCTGTTTTTTTGTTGGCTCAGTGACAGGACGCGTCTTGCTGCACAGTTGCCCAGTCTTTGCAAGCCTCCCCGAGGATTCCCTCACATCTTCGTGATGATGTCCTTCCGAGTGGCCTTCTTTGCAGCCCTGATGGCCGTGGTAGCCCTTGTGTTGCAGGGTTGTTCGGACAGCACGGACGACGTTGTGGCCGACAGCAACACGACTACCACGACCCTTGAAGAGAAGAACGAGTCTGCTGCGGAGGGCAACGCCACGACCACGCCAGTCACAGACAACAACGCCACGACGACGGTGACTACGACTGTCGCGGAGGGCAATTCAACCACGACCTCGCAGGAGAGCACCACAACGACATCAACTACGGAGGCAGCAGCGGAGGAAGCAAACGCGACCAACACCTCCAACGTGACCCTGCTGCTGTGAGCTCGGCAGCTAGCATGTACAGAGCAGTCTGATGGGTCTGCAAGTCGATATTTTGCGCCAGGCGACGAATGGTCTGCTGGTACTTGTGAAGCGTTCCCTTACGTAGAAACGTGACAGGGGCACGGCATAATGAGGAGAGAAACCCGAAACTACGGTTTCCCATGCAAGCCATGCACGGACAAAACAGGCTGCCACATGCACGATCACATGAATGGGGTGCCACAGTGTGGGTGTGGGTGTGTGTCTGTGTGTGCCTCGTTCAGCACCATCGGTTTCAAGCAGAGAGTACTGCACATTGCTCGGTTTTTTGAGCGAGGAAAGATAATGCCATCCCTGTTTTTTTGTTGGCTCAGTGACAGGACGCGTCTTGCTGCACAGTTGCCCAGTCTTTGCAAGCCTCCCCGAGGATTCCCTCACATCTTCGTGATGATGTCCTTCCGAGTGGCCTTCTTTGCAGCCCTGATGGCCGTGGTAGCCCTTGTGTTGCAGGGTTGTTCGGACAGCACGGACGACGTTGTGGCCGACAGCAACACCACTACCACGACCCTTGAAGAGACGAACGAGTCTGCTGCGGAGGGAAATGCCACTACGACGCCAGTCGCAGACAACAACGCCACGACGACGGTGACTACGACTGTCGCGGAGGGCAATTCAACCACGACCTCGCAGGAGAGCACCACAACGACATCAACTACGGAGGCAGCAGCGGAGGAAGCAAACGCGACCAACACCTCCAACGTGACCCTGCTGCTGTGAGCTCGGCAGCTAGCATGTACAGAGCAGTCTGATGGGTCTGCAAGTCGATATTTTGCGCCAGGCGACGAATGGTCTGCTGGTACTTGTGAAGCGTTCCCTTACGTAGAAACGTGACAGGGGCACGGCATAATGAGGAGAGAAACTCGAAACTACGGTTTCCCATGCAAGCCATGCACGGACAAAACAGGCTGCCACATGCACGATCACATGAATGGGGTGCCACAGTGTGGGTGTGGGTGTGTGTCTGTGTGTGCCTCGTTCAGCACCATCGGTTTCAAGCAGAGAGTACTGCACATTGCTCGGTTTTTTGAGCGAGGAAAGAGAATGCCATCCCTGTTTTTTTGTTGGCTCAGTGACAGGACGCGTCTTGCTGCACAGTTGCCCAGTCTTTGCAAGCCTCCCCGAGGATTCCCTCACATCTTCGTGATGATGTCCTTCCGAGTGGCCTTCTTTGCAGCCCTGATGGCCGTGGTAGCCCTTGTGTTGCAGGGTTGTTCGGACAGCACGGACGACGTTGTGGCCGACAGCAACACGACTACCACGACCCTTGAAGAGACGAACGAGTCTGCTGCGGAGGGCAACGCCACGACCACACCAGTCACAGACAACAACGCCACGACGACGGTGACTACGACTGTCGCGGAGGGCAATTCAACCACGACCTCGCAGGAGAGCACCACAACGACATCAACTACGGAGGCAGCAGCGGAGGAAGCAAACGCGACCAACACCTCCAACGTGACCCTGCTGCTGTGAGCTCGGCAGCTAGCATGTACAGAGCAGTCTGATGGGTCTGCAAGTCGATATTTTGCGCCAGGCGACGAATGGTCTGCTGGTACTTGTGAAGCGTTCCCTTACGTAGAAACGTGACAGGGGAACGGCATAATGAGGAGAGAAACCCGAAACTACGGTTTCCCATGCAAGCCATGCACGGACAAAACAGGCTGCCACATGCACGATCACATGAATGGGGTGCCACAGTGTGGGTGTGGGTGTGTGTCTGTGTGTGCCTCGCTCAGCACCATCGGTTTCAAGCAGAGAGTACTGCACATTGCTCGGTTTTTTGAGCGAGGAAAGATAATGCCATCCCTGTTTTTTTGTTGGCTCAGTGACAGGACGCGTCTTGCTGCACAGTTGCCCAGTCTTTGCAAGCCTCCCCGAGGATTCCCTCACATCTTCGTGATGATGTCCTTCCGAGTGGCCTTCTTTGCAGCCCTGATGGCCGTGGTAGCCCTTGTGTTGCAGGGTTGTTCGGACAGCACGGACGACGTTGTGGCCGACAGCAACACCACTACCACGACCCTTGAAGAGACGAACGAGTCTGCTGCGGAGGGAAATGCCACTACGACGCCAGTCGCAGACAACAACGCCACGACGACGGTGACTACGACTGTCGCGGAGGGCAATTCAACCACGACCTCGCAGGAGAGCACCACAACGACATCAACTACGGAGGCAGCAGCGGAGGAAGCAAACGCGACCAACACCTCCAACGTGACCCTGCTGCTGTGAGCTCGGCAGCTAGCATGTACAGAGCAGTCTGATGGGTCTGCAAGTCGATATTTTGCGCCAGGCGACGAATGGTCTGCTGGTACTTGTGAAGCGTTCCCTTACGTAGAAACGTGACAGGGGCACGGCATAATGAGGAGAGAAACCCGAAACTACGGTTTCCCATGCAAGCCATGCACGGACAAAACAGGCTGCCACATGCACGATCACATGAATGGGGTGCCACAGTGTGGGTGTGGGTGTGCGTCTGTGTGTGCCTCGTTCAACACCATCGGTTTCAAGCAGAGAGTACTGCACATTGCTCGGTTTTTTGAGCGAGGAAAGATAATGCCATCCCTGTTTTTTTGTTGGCTCAGTGACAGGACGCGTCTTGCTGCACAGTTGCCCAGTCTTTGCAAGCCTCCCCGAGGATTCCCTCACATCTTCGTGATGATGTCCTTCCGAGTGGCCTTCTTTGCAGCCCTGATGGCCGTGGTAGCCCTTGTGTTGCAGGGTTGTTCGGACAGCACGGACGACGTTGTGGCCGACAGCAACACCACTACCACGACCCTTGAAGAGACGAACGAGTCTGCTGCGGAGGGAAATGCCACTACGACGCCAGTCGCAGACAACAACGCCACGACGACGGTGACTACGACTGTCGCGGAGGGCAATTCAACCACGACCTCGCAGGAGAGCACCACAACGACATCAACTACGGAGGCAGCGGCGGAGGAAGCGAACGCGACCAACACCTCCAATTTGACCCTGCTGCTGTGAGCTCGGCAGCTAGCATGTACAGAGCAGACTGATGGGTCTGCAAGTTGCAGCGATGATGCGAACATGCGCCAGAACGCTTGTGCACTACGAGGTCACCAGTCAGAGTGACTTTTTGCGCCAGTTGACGAATGGTCTGCTGGCACCTTGTGCAACGTAGCCCTTCCCAACGTAGAAACGTGACAGGGCGGGGCATGAGAGGAGAAGCCCGAAACCACGGTTTCCCATGCAAGCTTGTACAGACAAAAACAGGCCATTGCTCAGAACCACTGGTTTGACGCAGAAACTACAACACATCATTTCCTTGCTTGAGCACAGCATTGCTGCCCCTGATTTTTGGCTCATTGCCAGGACGTGTCTGCTGAGCAGTTGCCCAGTCTCTGCAAGCCTCCCCGAGGATTTCCACGCATCTTCGTGATGATGTCCTTCCGAGTGGCCTTCTTTGCTGCCCTGATGGCCGTGGTGGCCCTTGTGTTGCAGGGTTGTTCGGACAGCACGGACGACGTTGTGGCCGACAGCAACACCACTACCACGACCCTTGAAGAGACGAACGAGTCTGCTGCAGAAGGCAACGCCACGACCACACCAGTCACAGACAGCAATGCCACGACCACGGTGACTTCGACTACGACTCCCATGGAGACTACGACTTCCATGGAGGGCAACTCAACCACCCTCACATCCGCAGGCACAACCACTGAGGCGGCGACCTCCACAACCACTGAGGCGACGACCTCCACCACCACGGAGGCAAACGCAACTACAACCAGCGAGGCCAACGCCACCTCCAATCAGACCCTTTTGCTGTGAGTGCACCGAGCTGGCAGCTGCCAAGTTGGTGTAGGCAGGCCACTGGCACAGGCCCTCACGCACAACTCGCGTGCATGGCTTTGATCCCTGGGCATTGCCAAACAGATTTGTACAGAGCACCGCACAGTCCGGCACCAGTCCGAACCCATCAGTAGTGCCACAGAGCTTCACCAAACAGGGTGTCAATGTGGCACTAGCAGTGCACTGCTTTTGCGGGCCAGTATGGAGAGCCCTTCCGAGGTGGACAAAGATGCTCACCCGCTCCGAAAACCGCAGCAGGCCTCCATCTCAGGACTCACGCGTGAGCGCAGCCATGCGTAGCTAACCCCCATGGCATTGTATGAACTACAGCCAGCCCGCCTCAGCTTTCGGGGCGCTTGCTGTTCCGACCTGCAGCAGTCCTCAAGTGCAGCCGTTCAGCCTCAGCTCCACCGAAGCCAAGTCGCAGAGCCGCAGCTTTTTGAGCATTCGCCCATGGTATCCCTAAGTCCCTAATCATGCGCAGCTGAAGAATCATGGGACTCTACCTCGGACTTTTAAGGTTGCACACTGGGGTTTGGGGACCCTGGATTCTATATCGGGCCATATATTAGGAGTATAATTAAGGGAACCGCTTTTGGGGTACAATCTTAGGGGTACGAGTCCTATAATCCCTTGAAGGAAGTGTATTCAGTGCTTTGCTGCAAGCTTCATGGAGCCTGAACGCTTCTCGGGCTAGGCTGCGAGCGTTCCCAGCCTGGTTCTGCTCGTGGCCGGATGGTCCCAACCTCAGCACACGTCGTGCCCTCATCAAGCTCCAGTACAATGACATCTTTACACCTCTTCTGGTTGCGGGTGTGGCCCAGTGGCGTGCTGCTGCCGGAGGTTTAATCTGAGGTCAGATTCAATAGCCCAACGCTTTCCGTGGGCAGCTCTGCAGATCTGCATCGTCATTCTCACACTCAAAGAACATGCCCCCAGGCTATGATCGGCGTAGTGTTGGCGTGTTGTACTGAGTTACTCGGGCCCCCAAAGCCGTCACCCCCTAGACCCTGTAGTATATCTGTATATGTATATATATATATATATATTTCTATTTATTTATCTATTTACTTATGTATTTATTTATGTTTATATTTATATTTATATTTATAGGGTTGAGGGTTTAGGGAGGTATCGTTTCCCGACCTCCGACCCGAGAGCCATGGGACATAAAAGGCCAAGCCTGCTGCAATTAGACCTTAAGGCTTAGAACCAATGCCCTAAACCCTCCAAAGCCCTACAAGGCTCGAAAAGGCACGAAAGATGCCTGTATAGCCCCGAACCACCTGCTAAACCCCTAAACCCTAAACCCCTAAACCCCTAAACCCTAAACCCTAAACCCTAAACCCCCACCGCCAAGTGCTTAGAGGCCGAATGCCATGCAGCCCTCCTGGGGTGTGCATTCGGAGCACTAGGCCGGGTCGAGTGGTCTCTCAAAGCTGTCATTGCGGCCTTTTGGAGGGTTTAGGGTTTAGGGTTTAAAGGGTTTAAAGGGTTTAGGGTTTAAGAAAGGGTTTAGGGTTTAACGGGTTTAGGGTTTAGGTTTCAGGGTTTCAATGAGGGTTTAGGTTGGGTGTTTCGAGTATAGGGGTTTGGGTGGGCTTCAAGTTTAGGGAGTTGCGGGGGTTTGGGGGGTGTCTGGGATTACGAGTTGAAGGGTTTCGGGGTACTTGAAGAAGTCAGGCCTCGGGGGCTTTCCTAAACCTAAGTTCCAGGTGTCTGCAACGTTGGGCTGACAGAGGGGGACGAAGATTCAGAGCTGAGGGGCCAAAAGACGAAAAACACTGCCTCTCAAGTACCCCTCTAACAAGGGTCTATGTACCTTGGTGGAAGCCCAGCAAGACTCTGCGACAAGCTGCCCAGTGCAGGGCCCCTCCTGTCCAGTGGCGTCGGTCAGCGACCTAGCTCCTTCTTTGTTAGGGGCATGCAATATAAGGTTTAGGGTTTAGGGTATAGGGTTTATGAGGTAGAGGGTTTTGCAGGGTTCGGGAAGGTTTTGGGATGTTTTGGGCAAGGGGTTCAGGTGTAGGGAGGGGACACAGGAGTGAAGTCATTAAGGGTGCTATGCAAAAAGATTGCAGCGCGGACCCCTCCATGGAGTTTTTTCAACATTTTTCATGCCAATGCGAACAGATGGTGCATGGTCCCTGTGCTTCTGCTGATACCGCTGATGCCGTTGTGGTTCCAGCACGCTCGCGCGTCGGGCTCTTCAGGGAAGCTTATCCGGGCAAACGCGCTGCGGCACGTGGCTTCGTTGCTTCGGCATGACGACCTCTTCAAGGCTCTCATTGCTGACATGGCGAAAGGATCGCTGAAAGGCGAAGGGGCAGAACTGCCCAAGAAGCGATGGTGCCAGGCCACTGGCTTTTCTTGGGTTGACACTCTGAAGAGCGTGAATTGCGACCCGGAAGACAAGAAAGCCAAGTGTGTGAAGTCCTTCATGGCCACTATGGTCACCAAGCAGGTGATGACTTCCGAGGATGAGTGTGCCTTCGTGGTCCGCGTCATCAACGCAGGTCCCGAGGATGAGCCCATCATCTTCGGCATCGTGGATGATGAGCCCGATGGCTTCAGCCGGCTGCCTATTGGGCATCCGGAACTCCGGGCCTCCATAGGGGCCGCTTGCATGCGGAGTGGCGGTGCCATCGTTCATCAGGGGAAAGTGCTTGCACGCACTCCAGGTCTCAGGGATGGAGACATTGTTTCTGTCAGGGTCAAAAGGGGCTCGAAGGTGGCCTTGTACAAAGGCTCACAACAACTTCATGGATTCGGTGTAGGTGGCAATGGTAAATTTCGAATCGCAGTCAGCATGGGGTCACCTGGACAGAAGGTTGAGATTCTGGACGAGACCCCAACCTCGGGCTACCCTGCACCTTCACCAGTGCCAGCAGGGCCCACGGGCTACCAGAAGCTCACGGTGGGCTCCACAGTGCGACTACCGATGGCTGATGATCCGCGCTTGCAGGAGATGCGCACCAAGTTTGTAGACTCGATGCGTGCGCACTGCGGCAGGGTCGGCAAAGTGCTGAAAGTGAAAGAGCGGCTGGTAACGGTGGAGGTGGATGATGACGACTACCATTGGGACCTGGAGGCCCCGTAGCACACGAGTTGTGAACAGATGGCTCTTAGATGGCAGTCTTGCCGAAGGGTCGGTGCTGAGAGTTCCTGGAAGCTGACTGGACTAACTCAAAAGAAAGCTGTGACACGGAACTCCTTGCATACAAAAGAACCGTTTCTAGCAAGGCTGGCGCAACAGTTTTTCTTTCTTTGTGTGTGTGTGTGTGTTGCCGTTACCGTTCCTCCTGCCGAATTCTATTTGTCGCCAAGACTATCTCGCGCCAAATCTGCGTGAACATGCGCCACATCAGTGTCTACTTGTGGAATCCAGCCTGCGCGGGAACATACGCTATTTTGAACTTGCCTTTATTTCAGTTGCAGGTGGGACGACCATGGCCCGAAGACCTGGCCTAAAGAGAAAACGGTGTCGCGAAGCCTCATTATAGGATCAAACCGACAAGAGAAAAAGGACGGTTAAACCTACAGTGCCGGATCTTCTGACTAGAGGCCGTCACAACAAAATCAAAGGTAGAGAACGCACACACAAGCTTAGCATGCGCCACCGCCATCGGCTCGTCCATTTGCCGGTCCACAACGTTTTGCAAGTTTTGGGATACAAGAATGGGCGCGCGCGCGCCAGAAGCTGGCCCTGCAGGTGTTTCCACCCGAAGTGGCCCGCTACTGCCCGCAAGGCTGTGAGCTGAAATCTGGGCCAGTTTCTTCATCCCGTTGCAGATGCGATGTCTGCCCTTTGGTATACGGCAGCAGTTCGTTCTTCGGTCTGCTTGGTTGCTGCTTCCTTGTGAGGTTTTAGGGCAGATGTGCGTGTAAAGTCGTTTAAGGCGACTTCATCAAGCGATAGCAGTCAGGGACCCAGGGATCGAGATCTCTTTCCCCGTCCGACGTGTGCCCGTCAGAAGGATCGTAGCTCGAAATCGTATAGTTATTCCAGATTTGGGGGTGGGTCCTCAGTCTGTTTCGGGCTCAGCCGAGGCCACACGAAGCTGCCCGTAGGCCACCCCGCTGCGAGCTGCAGAGACCACGACTACGACGTTTGCAGCTACTGCCTGGGCAAGACAACGATGCCCGAGCCAGGAAGTAGGGTCAGACGTGGGCCCACGTGGAAGTGGGGCGGTCAGGATGACGACACTACAGGCACCTGCAGAGGGAAAGATGACCCAGGCTGGGTAAGATGACCAACTGCTATCGGGTGGACGACTACTACCGAGACGTGTGGCCGGCCTACGGACCTCTGTCTTTCCTTGTTACTCCACAGTGTTGTTCTTGGTTGTTCTTCTATTTTGTTTTCTGCAGCTGTCCGGGCTTGCCCAATGCTTTGAATGTACTGCAAGTAGCTCTGATGTCCCATCTCCCTGCATCCTGGCTAGCCAAAGTTCCCGCTGAGTTCTATCCAGATGAGGAAGTGAGCAGAGCCAGAAAGACACCGCAAGCCCCACGGCAACAACAACATCCCCCCTCCCACATCGCCATCGTCCCCTTCGCCGCAGACGCCGCAGAGTGACCGCGGTCCCACCATGCGCTGGGGCATCGGGATGGAGGCGGCGGATGCAGGACGTTTTATGCCTTTGAAACTTTGCCCCGCCCCGAGAACCCTACAAGCTTCACCCTAAACCTAAACAAAAATCCATCTTCGGTGCTTGGAAGGAGCGCGGGACTTTATCAAGCAAGGCTGGACGCCAACCAAGGACTCGCGGCCTGCGGGGGGAGGGGGGGGGGGGTTGCAGGATTGGTTGGTGCACATGCTGCAGGATGTGCCGACGTCGCTGAAGTCATTCGGTCTTGATGACGGAGAGCGCGAGACTCTCGGCCAGATTCTTAAGAAGAAGGGACACCTACCCTGTAGCGAGAGTTCATTGCAGGAACTCGTGCTCAAGACACTACGAGTTAAAGCTGATCGACTTGGTTCTGAACGGCGTCAGAGGTGCTGTAGTTTTTATTTTGGAAGCTTGCATGAAGAGCTTTGAACCGCTGCCAGTTAGAGCATTTTTTTTGTTGGGGGGGGGGGTTTCAGCTTGGAAGCCCAACTTGCGGAAGCACGTTCCCCAGAAGTGCTCGCAGAAGGGTCTCGCTTATCTCAGCAAAAGAGAAAAGTCACCATAACCACAGCTCATTCAGGGAGGGGCGTCTCGGCCTTGGCATGTAAAATCTGGAGAGAGCGGTGAAGCTTTGCACCTGTGCCTGTCCAATAGTACGGAAAACGTGAGCCCAGCAAAGCTCTCCCACATCTTCGGCTAGTGCGTGCATTGGGTAGTGGTGGAGCCGTCGCTTGCAACCGAAGGTCTTGAGCTGAATTAAGTCATGTGCACTCAGAATGGTGTGAAACAACCCCGCCCAGCCATGAACGGTTAATTCGGGCGCTTGGAATTCCTCCTGCTGCCGGGATCGCAAGATGCAAGTAAGGTTCATCATGCAGAGGGGAAAGAACTTGGCAGAGGAGCTAGCAGAGCTCAATGTCGCCAAGCTGACGGAAACTTTGGCGTGCCAAGTGCGAACATTCTACCCTGAAAGCTTTGGGCCATAACCTTTAGCACTGGGGTCCGTTTCAGGGCCGTGGCTCGAACCCAAACGAAAGAGTAGATCAGGATATTGGGATGTTTGTCTCCTGGAACATGCGCAGTCAAGCGTACCTCAAGCTCCACCACAAAAATTTGAGGATCTGATGGCTGTTGCTTTGTTGATTGCTGTGCTGCGCTGGGGGTGCCTATAAGGACAGGCACGCAGCTGCTGTGTTCGCCTACACGCAGGAGAGATCCGAGCATCGTCAGCAATAAGAGTAGTTCTCCAAATCAGGGTCCCTGTTTTGGGTCCCTATCTCATACGGCGCCATATACAAGGAGCCCGAAATTCTGAAAGGGACCGCGAACTACCCATAACTTGCTTGGCTTTAGCAGTGACTGCAAGTTGACGAACATCCGCTGCGCCATCCTGACGATCTCCGTCTGTCACTCTGCCTACCTACCCTAATTAAACCCTAATATGCCAAGGCCACGACACAGAAGCAGCTCTACAAGATGCTCAACATGACGATGCGGGCGGCGACACTGAGTGCCGAAAGCAGGCTGTTCAGTGGATTCCTGGATCTGCTCGTGTTTGACCAGTGAAGACTCAGAGTCCCCTCTCTCGTAGTCCCAGGTGATTCAAGGTCCCTTCCTCTTGAGAGCGAGTGTGTAGTTTGAGAAGGCATCTGGCCCAAAGAAGTGGATGCCACATGCAGGCTGGATGCTTACCGAGACTACATCTACCACCTCTCGCAGGCCTTACCCATGCTGCCGCCCTACATGGGACGGACCTATCGTGGCATCCCTCAGCCGCCTAGTTGCACTTGTGATCTTGCGGTGACTTCTATCCGTGCACCTTCGACCACCCCTAAGCGACATCACTACGAACCCTGCTGAAGCTCAGGTACTTTCCTCCAGAGGCATACCGCGTTGGGAAGACGATCACATGGCAGCCCTTTACATCCACCACGAGGACCCAGAACCAGGCGCGGACATTCCCCCAAAGTGCTTGTGAACGTTGCGCGCCCCAAGGGCTGGCAGTCTGCAGCTGCTTTGAAAAAGGCACTTCTGTAGAGGGCTTGGAGTGATTAGAGGGTTTCTGGTTGTAGGGTTTAGAGGCTTCATGGGATTCCTGGACCTTCTGGGGTTATGTAAATCAGGCTGTGTCGATAGGGTTTACAAGGTTTTTTTTGGAACTTATACTGTAAGGACAGTGTTTAGGGATGTGTTGGCTGTGTTGGTCATGCCCAGACATGTGCCACGATGGCGAGCATCTCTTGAACGATGCGCGTGCTTCCTGAATGCTCATGAAAGAACAATTGGTCTTCTTTTCGTCCTCATGCTTGTCCATCTGACTACTTGGCAAGGAGCACCCTCAACTCCTAAACCCTTACGCCCCAAACCCCAACCTAAGCCCATTCTTCCGCGGGTGGGGAGGGGGGGGTCAACTTGACCCTGGGACTTGCACTCCTTATGCAGGGTTCTGGGCAGGTTCCCACATTCGTGGGTCGTGCCGCCGACAGCAAGCTCTCAGGAACCTCGGCTTTGAATCCTAAGCGTTCTCCTTCTGCTCGTGAATGAGTGGTTTTCGCGGGCGACGGCTGTATACATATTATATATATATATATATGCATATATATATCTATGAATATGCCATATAGGTATATACATGTGCATGCAATGGCTGGACTTTGACATGCGGAGGCAACATGCAATGCAGCCATAAAGTTTCTGAGAATGACTCAGGCACGGCTCTTGTGCTGGCAGCTTGGAACTTTCAGGGGCCGTTGTTGCGGGTTAGCGGGCTTGGGGTGCCCCAAACCCAAGGTAGGCCCAAGAGGGTTGGCCACTCCGTGCTTTGAATCCCTTGAATCCCTTCTGGAGTTGAAAGGTGGAGGCGTTATGGGAGTTGCGTGCAATGGTCCCTCAAAATCTGCTGTTAGGCTCCAACAGATATGTGTGCTAAGATTGGACATGTCGCATCTTGCAACACCAGAAACCTTAAACCCTAAACCCTAACCCCCACGAGCCGCTTCAAGCCCAGGAAGTTTGCAACGGCCGCAACATTGAGGATGCTGCTTGGCACAGACTCTGGCGAGATTCTGTCTAGCTTTGGCCGTCATAATTATGGCCTGCAATTTATGAAAGGTTTGGCGACTTGGGTTTCGGATTTCCTAACACCTTAAACCCTATAACCCTACATAAACATCCCAGGTGAGCCAGTACCCTGAGGAGAATGAGATCCTGATTCTCCCAAACTCTCACTGGACAGTGACGAGGCGAGTGGACTCTCTCGAAGAGAAAAGGTCACTCCTTACGGAGCTGATAGGTTATGATCTCAAGGATCTCCAGGTTGTTTGCTTAGAGCAAGTGTGACATGATCTGCGCGCGGATCAGTTTGGATCCACCCACGCGCAGAAGACGTTTTCTAGACCTCTGATGCTGTATTCCAGGCGCAGAGCTTGTGTGAGGCTTGAGGTAACTTGAGTTCACCTGAGCCTCTTGAGATGCAACGGGGTATGTGGCCGGCATGCACAGGACAGTACGATTGGTTGTGGACTTGGACAGATGTACATAATTAATGCAGGCTCTAAACTTGTACAACTGTATTCTGCCGTTGGCCCGCCCCCATTTCCAAGATGTGCAGACCTCGCAGCTTTCTCGTGACACAAAAAACTCCGCCAATGCCATTGAGGGCTACAATATGTCGGCTGGTTCAGTCAGCCTCGGTAGTACGAGCTGCAGGCTGTGTGGCATCATGCGGCATTTTGGCATGGGTGGAGTGGGGGACCGTCAACCCGCCCTAAACCCAAGTCAGATTAGACGCCCTGGCCCTAAGCATCCGAAGGTCCCTCTAAGCCCCGGAACTCGTATCCATCTCTTATCCATCTTGACCCCCCAAATCTTGTACCTCTCTCCTGAAAATCAAAACCTGTCAAGAGCCAAGAGCACGCAGCCTGAAACAGCTTCATCCCAAACATATGAACCCCAAACCTGATAAGATTTACACCCTAAACTTCAACCCCAAGCCCTAAATTCACAAACCCTTGTCAAGACCCTAAACCCTCAACCCCGCAACACACGCTCAACACCCAAAACCCTAACAACCCAAAAGCACCAAGAAGTCCTCAAGCACGCTGCAAAAGACCCCCTTGTTCAATCTCAAACCCTAAACTCTAAACCCCAAACCCTCAACCCTAAACCCGAAACCCTTATAAACCCCAAAACCTTAGGGTTTAGGGTTTAGGGTTTAGGGTTTAGGGTTTAGGGTTCAGGGTTTAGGGTGAAAGAAAGCCCCATGATAGCGTCCGAGGCCGAGCCACGGGCCTGAGCCCGGAAGGCACCGGCTCGGGGCGAGTCATCCCGCGCCAGCCCTCCGGGGTGTCATGGTGGAGAGAGTTGGGGTTTAGGGTTGAGGGTTTAGGGTTTAGGGTCTAGGGTTTAGGTTTAGGGTTTAGGGTTTAGGGTTTAGGGTTTAGGGCTTAGGGCATAGGGTACTTAGGGTACTTAGGATGCTGAGGATACTTAGGGTACTTAGGGTACTTGGGGTACTTTGGGCAACTTGGGGTACTTAGGGTACTTCAGGGGAACTCAGCGTCTTAGGGTACTTGGGGCCATTTTGACATAGAAGGAATGCCCTAAACCCTACCTAAACAGGACATGGGGGTTTTCGAAATTCGGCGTACCCTTTCTGGGGGTTTCCCATAATCAGGATTATCGTATTTGGGGAAATAGTAGGGGTGAGTACCCCTATCTGGGAAATGGCCACATGAGCAACACTTCAAAGAGAGCCCAGTTGTTCTACTTTCGCCTTCCGCAACATGGGCCCAAAGCGCTAAGCCTTACACCTTAACCCCCCTAAACCCCAAACCCTAGACCCTAAACCCTAAACCCAAGCCCTAAACCCTAACCCTAAACCCAAAAAACCATAAAAACCCTAGAAACCCTAAGAACCCTAAAAACCCTAAAAATCCTAAAGCCCTAAAACCCCAAAAACCCTACACCCCCCCAAACCGAAGAGAAGCAAAGGTGATCTCCCTCTTTGGGGCTCTTGGCTCTTCGTCCGTGGCTGCCGTAGCTGCATTGAGCTCTGGGAGCGTGGCTCAGCCTGGTCTTGAGCAGTTTGGTAGGGGTTTAGGGTTTAGGGTTTAGGGTTTAGGGTTTAGGGTTTAGGGTCTAGGGTCTAGGGTTTAGGGTTTAGGGTTTAGGGTTCAGCGTTTAGGGTTTAGGGTTTAGGGTTCAGGGTTTAGGGTTCAGGGTTCAGGGTTCAGGGTTTAGGGTTCAGGGTTCAGGGTTTAGGGTTCAGGGTTTAGGGTTCAGGGTTTAGTACCGATGTAAGAAAATCCAGAAACAGGCCAGAGTATGGGGCGGCGTTACCCCAAACATAGAGGAGTTGCAGCCCAAGAATCCCAAGTCGACTGGCCAGTTGAGGCAGGTGATGGGGGTTAGGGTTAGGATTTGCGGAGTTTGCGGTTTAACCTCTAAACCCTAAACCCCCCAAACTAACCCTAAGCCCCAAAACGTTCAGGGTTGTCAGGCATGCCAGGTAGGGGAGTCTGGTGGCTGCGCAGGGCGGTCCCATAAAGAAGTTGCCTTTAACCTGAACTCCGAAGCCATTGAGCATGTGCCATTGTACCCTAAAACCTAAAACCTAACCTTAAACCCCCTAAACCCTAGACCCTAAACCGCCCTGAACCTGAGTTCAGAACCTTGCCACCTACCTGGAATCAATGCCTCGAAAACCTTGAGCACTAAACTGCAAGGCTCACATGTTCGGATCTTGCTCGGCGTACGCTTCATCGCCATGTCTCGGCACACACCCTAAACCCTAAACCCTAAACCCTGAACCGCCAGAAGGTGGTCGCGGGAGCTCTGTGCGGTGCGGCAGAGGCCCTGGAGGTGCAGCATAGACTCCGAGGACCTCCCTTGACCCTGAATGCCGAACCCTAAACACTGAAGGCCAAACCCACAGAACTCCCCTAAACCCTGAACTCCTAAACCCTCTACGCTCTAAACCCTGAAGCCCCGAGTTCACCCTTAAGTGGCATTTCCATTGTGGGTGGGCTTCGGACTGCTAAGACCCAGGCTGTGGCGTGCTGCATCACCGGAGTCGCCACGGGAGATATGCTGAAGAGCCGCCCGGCATCCACAGCAGGAGCGTCTGGAAGTCGTTCATTGGATTCTCGAAGGTTCCCTGGAAGTTTCTGTACAGGTTCTGGGCATCCTTGCCAACGTCCGGCATTCTGGCTCCACATGTATAGAGGTGTCATCGGCACTGACTTTCCCTTATGTTGCTCATCAGGCTTGAACCTCCCTCACCGCTTTATGTATGCCTGGGTTGTGATGCTTATAAGGTTGCTCAGAAAGGCTGGCCCCCTAAACCCTAAACCCTAAACTCTTCTAAACTCTTCTAAACCCTAAACCCTAAACCCTAAACCCTAAACCTTAAACCCTAAACCCTAAACCCTAAACCCTAAACCCTAAACCTAACTCCAACCCAAGCCAAAGCGATCAAGACCCAGGACGCAATCTCCTCTCGTCAGAGCCGGGGCTCGTGCTCGGCTGACGAGTTCAGGGCTTTGGGGGTTTAAGAGGTTAAGGGTTTAGGGGTTTAGGGGTTTAGGGTTTAGGGTTTAGGGTTTAGGGTTTTTAGGGGTGTAGGGCTTAGGATTTAGACTCCCGATGGAAGCATGGATCAGCCAAGCTCCAGGTGAGTTGCAAAGATCGACTCGCTCAAAAGGGGGGCTGCCGGTGTCACAGCCTGGACTTGGGGCGCTCCGAGTCGCTGCAGCCATCCCCCAAGGTGAAACAGACTTTGTTCTGGGTTTAGGTTGTAGGGTTTAGGGTTAAGGGTTAAGGGTTAAGGGTTAAGGGTTAAGGGTTTATAGGATTTCGATCATGTAAGCCAGCAACCTGAGCCCTGACCTCTGGTATGATGAGGATGTTTTGAAGATTTCGCAGCTCATTGTCCCGAGGGCTATGTGGCTCAAGGTTGCCGGAATGCCAGAACAGTCAACTCCTGGGATCATCTTGAGACCACCCAGCCCGTTCTGCAGTGATTCTACAGCTCAAGAGCTCACCCATGTTTGATCCGAGAACCAATTGTTGCCTTAGTTAGAGTATCTCCGAAGGAGAATTTCACCAGCCGGGAGCAAGCAAGGCAAGCAAGTTAGTGGAACTTCTCTTCACGGCTCGGCCTTGCCAGTTCGCGAGCCATCATGGGCCAAAGAAGCCGCCGCCTCAGCGGCAGGATTGAGATTGTCGGAGTCTTATAGAGTCGCGTAGCTGTCACTGCCTTCCATGTTGCAGCTAACAAATCAAACACTTCGCAGCACCTACGCCCTATCACCGCAAACCCTAAACCCTAAACCCCCACCCCCCCCCGAGGCAGCATCCCAAGAGGGAACCTCCTCCAGCGCGGAGTCTCCGCCGCTGCCAGCGGGGTGGACTCGATGGTTGGTGGCGGTGCCGCCACGAAAGCGGTGGACAAGCTTGGCATAGGCGTTTTAGGGGTTTTGGGGTTTTAGGGTTTGGGGTCTTTTAAGGGGGTTTGTTAGGGTTTTGGAGTTTTAAGGGTTTGTTAGGGTTTTGGAGTTTAGGGGTTTTAGGGTTTTGGCGTTTTAGGGTTTTAGGGTTCTAGGGTTTAGGATTTTGGGGTTTCGGGTATAGGCTGGGAAAATGGGCAAATATTGCCATTTTTGTTGGCAGGTTTGTGGTATATTGGGAACCGAAGTCTGCCGGCCCTGTGGTTGCCCTTACTACTTTTCGGCTCTTTGAGTTACATTGCGTGGTGGTCTCTTTAAGTAGGGTTTCTGTTTTGTAGGGGGTTTCTTGTTAGGATACCCAGAACCTCTATTAAGGTATAAGGGCAACAGATAAAGAGGCCATCGGCCTTTATAATCTTTGAGGGTGTAATCGACCCCCCCCGCCTCCCCCTGCTCAACAAAAGGGCTTCGAGGGAAACCCTAAACCCTAAACCTGTCGTTTGTGCTTGTCCAGGGAAGCCCAAGACAGGGCCGGCATATATGCTGCAGTCATGGGATGCCAGGCGCTGAGAACTTGCCACTGGGGTTTAGGGTTTGGAGTTTAGGGTTCAGGGTTCAACTGTAGCAAACGGCGAGAATAGCATCGATCACTCTTGTTGCAGGCACCCCTACTGTAGGCGGCAGAAAGGCGTGACTGCGCTGCGTAACCTTCCGCCCAGGTGCTTCCAGAAGCCTTTTTCAAACCTTTCCATCTAAGCTACCGGCGATTGCTCGTTTTCTGGGGCTGAAAGAAAGCCCTGGAAGCCTTAGAGTAGACTTCATCGAGTTCGTGCCACCTTCCCCGCAATTTCAGATCAACGCGCGCGACACCTGCGAGCCGTGGCTAGCAGGGGGGCCTACCAGCTTCGAAGAGCCAGGTTTAAGGGCTTCAGCGTTGAGGGGTTTGATGCGCGTGTCGGGTTGGATCGAAGGAGGCACCGAAGAAGTGTCCTAGACCAATGGAATGCTGCTGTTGTCCAGTCACAGAGGACCGAAGGTTTGCTTGAGGCTTGGAGTTACAAGGGGGCGTGGCCAGTGCACAGGGTGCGCTTGAACAGAAGCTGTATGATTCTGGCTCAAATGTAGACTCTCTGCCCATTTTCCAAGACGTGAACCCAGACTGAAGCAGGATTTTTTGGAACCCAGACTGCGCGTTGTCTCATCTTGCGTTTCGATGTGATGTTGAGGGGCAACCTTCAAAGCAGTACGATCTTTCTTGCAAGCTCTAAACCCTAAACCCCAAACCCGAAACCCTGAGCCCTAAGCCCTAAACCCTAAACTGCACCCTGCATGCTGAGATTGGCTATGCTCTGGGCAAGTTTCGAGGTGCACAGCTTTGCAGTCTCTGTGCGCACCCATTTCAAGAGCAGGTTAAAGGCTTTCAGCTTCGGGTGTAGGATTTAGGGTTTAGGGTTAGGGTTTAAGGTTTAGGGTCATTCAGGGTTCAGGAGGATTGTTATGACTCCGGGATATTTATAGGGAGCTCAGGGTGCTGAATTCGAATCTGCTACAATCTACCACTGCGCTTCAGCGATTTCCGGCGCAGTGTTTCTGACGCCGTCCTCTCAGAACTGTAAGTTCTTTGGGGTGTGAGTAGCAAAGTCTCTGTTGGATCTGCGGCAGGGAAAGAGGCCACAGAGGGTGGCACTCCAGGTGAGCCAGCGAAGTATGACAACCGTTGAGCATTTTGCAGAACGTGTGAGGGCTAATTGGGGCGTACTTGGCGGAGTGCACCCTGGGCTCAGGGTTTGTTCTCCTGCGCCGCCCTCAGAAGTAGGCGCTGGCCTTCTTGTTCACTCGAAGGGGCCGCTTCAGTGCTCCCCTTGTGTTGGTTTGTCCTTGCACCGCCCTCAGAAGTAGGGAGGCATATCGGGGGAACTGTTCCTTGTGGGCCGGCAAGCTTTTGAAATCCGGCTGCCCGGGTCCTTTATTTTTTCCCCCGACAAGGTAGGGGAAAGAGGGTGGAGGATTTAGGCAGCTCATGTGAGGCTGATCCAGGCAGGACCCTACATGATCCTGAGCCCGAAAACCCCAAAAGCCCTATAAGCAAGCCGATAAGTGATCCACGCAGCATGTGCTTTAGGCGTTCTGATATTGAATCCCCCTGGACAGGCGCAAACCGCGAAGCGCAAAAGCTGGTATTTCGGCTCATGCCGGGACCGCCGAACCCTCGGATAGGGTTTAGGGTTTAGGGTTTAGGGTTTAGGGTTTAGGGTTTAGGGTTTAGGGTTTAGGGTTTAGGGTTTAGGGTTTAGGGTTTAGGGTTTAGGGTTTAGGGTTTAGGGTTTAGGGTTTAGGGTTTAGGGTTTGGGGGGTTTGGGGTTTTTGGGGTTTGGGGTTTGTGGTTTGGGGTTTGGGGTTTGGGGCTTAGGGTTGAGGGTTTCCTTTGATTAGGGTTCTCTTTGACTGTGAAGACAGCCCTCATCGGGGTGGCTCTGCAATTGGGGCTTATTCCAACAGAATCTAAATTATGATCCCTACTGCCGCATGCCACAGCAATACTGAGAGGCTCACTGAATCCCAAACTGCAAATCTTAAACCTCCAATGAAAGACCATTTCTCCCCATGCTTACTCACCCTGGAATCGTCTAGTCTCCTTCTGTACGGCGCTTCTGGTTGCGCGCCCCGCAAGGTACTGGAGCCTCCTGCAGAGGCCAGGGGGATAGGCTACTTGTAGCATATCCAAGAATCACAAGCATAATGATGATAACAATGATAGTACTAATCATCTAGTAGTAGCATCGGAGGCTAATAGTGTTCCAATACGACACCCATATAGTAGCCTAATCCCGAGGACGTACCTTGATCTTGGCGAGCTTAAGACAAGGAAACCTGCTTTGTAGGCCACTTGGCTTTAGAAGGCTCCCTAAACCCCAAACCGGGCTCACTGCGTCTTCCGAGTCGGGTTTGTCCGAAGCACATTGGCCCTCACACCTCCAACATTCCAACTCCAAGCAGCCCCATCATCTCAATAGTCTTTCCAAATGCTCAACCCTGAAACCCAAACATCATGAACATCAAACCACCAGACCCCAGCAGGCCCCGCCGAAGCCTAGATATCCTAGAATGCCCTCACTGGAGCCCACCTCCCAATGACAACAGTCTGACAAGGCTAGATCAACTTGCCGAACCCTTGGCGGTACGTTCCGCCATGGGAAAGCTTCCCACGAATGACCGGATGTCTTTGGCCTTGGGGCATCAGGGGCTTTCGAGACATAGGGTCTCAGAGAGTTGGGGTTTTGGGCATCAGGGGTTTAGGTTCGAAGTTTCAGCTTTGCAGCAGCGTCTCGGGCGCCACAAACCCCAGCGAAATACCAAGAACGGCAACCCTTAAGGCATCTGAAGAACAAGTCATCCTCGCACATATACCACCCCCACCCCCCACACCCCCCAACCCACCCACCCAACGCCTCACCCTCTGGATACAATCCACATGAAGTACTTCTTGACGGTCCGAAGCACGCTTGGTCTTCCAGGCGACATCCAACAAAAGGGGACCTTCATTCGGGGGTGTACGAACACAAGGGACCCCGAATATACCCCAACTAGTAGGATCCCCTGAAACATAAGGACCCCAATAAGGTACGCCTAATTTCGGACACCCACCATCAGAGAACTAACTGTGCGGGAGCTTAGGGTGTACCTAGTAGCACTTCGTGCTTGGGATCAGCGAGGACGACATGCGGAGGTTGGCGAACGTCGTCTTCGGATCGGATCAAATCAAGTATGCCCGCGGCTGAGAGGGGCTTTAGCCCCTTCGTGGTTTCAGGGTCTCGATGTCCAAGTAGATCTCTCATCAAAAGAACATTGCCCGAAATCATGGCCTTTGTACACCAGTAAGGGGTTATCGCCAATGATTCGTTGTGTGTACTTCGGGGCCAGGCAGGGTTTTGGCAAACCACAGGAGTGCGATACTGGGATCCCAAGGCCCCTCGCAAACCTGTGATAGGACTTAGGGCTCAGGCGTTAGGATGCCTTATACACTCAGTAATCTTGGCCCAGGGCAGCATGTGGGACACCGACATGACCGACCAGGGTGCCCGAATGTGGGGCGAGCTGGCGCACGATGAAGCCTTGCGGATAGCCGACGCCCCGGCCACTGTATATAGAGTGCAGGGTAGAAGACGGCATGGGGGCTGACGGTCGACGTAAGCTCCTAGAGATTTGTGGGTAGGCACTTCCAGTCATACGGATGCGTGCCTGTTTTCCTTGAATTGAACACGCTTCTTTGAAGCCGCCAGTTTGGTAACGTATGGAGGCAGGGCGAGAGTTCCAGTGCTTCAAAAGAAGGTTGGTTCTAAGAGAACATTGGGCCCTGGCATTGTGTCCTTCCAGGGCTGCAATCGACTTTTGATTGCTGTGCTCGGTTGCATGTAAAGAAGACACACATTGTTCCTGTCCTTATTCTTACCCGTCGACAAGGGAAGGCCAACCCGAGAACCCCGAATTCAGGCTCCCCACGGCTACGCAGAGGGTCTTCAGAGCTTTCAGGGCCGGAAGTGCGACCGAGGGCCGTCCTGTCTCCAAAGCATCATACAGGGGCCAAAGAACTTCAACGACCATTCAAGCCCGAAGCGTTTGAAGCCGCCAGGCGCATGCCATCCGCCGCGTGCAGTCCTTTGGTCGCTTTCTCTTCTCTGCGCCTTGCCTAATTCTTTCAGGCTTGAGGGTGAGGTGAGGTGTTGTGAAAGGTTTTTTGGGGCTCTAGAGGCATTTGGCAGGTCTCTGGGTGTCGGTTCAATGAGTGTGATTCAAATGGTTTTCAGCGCAAGACTGAGCCCCTAAAACCCTGAACACTATACTCACTATACTGGCCCTAACCCCCAAGCCATAAATCCCTCAAGCCCACCCTTATAAACCCCTCAACCCTAGCCATGACCAGGTCGCCTACCCCTGTGCGCCAACCGAGGCAATCCCGGGAATTGGGGTGGGTGGGAGGCACCCTAATCCCCAAAAAATGTCAAGGCCACAATCCTCCTCCTTCTTTGATTCCAGGCTGCCCTCCTAAACTCGAAATCCCCTAGAGAGTGAAGCGCACTGCCAGGCAGCCTATGATCCGCCGCCCGACAAGAGCATGCTGGGGAGGGTGGCAGAGTTCTTTTAACTTCTCCTATACCCTAAAGCCCCTTAACTTAACCCCTTAATCCCCCCCCCCCAAGAAACAAAGAAGCACCAGCTTGACCCCCTGGAACCCTTCAGCTTAACTCGCCTAAGCCCCACGCGGAAGGCGTACCTCAGTCAACTAGGGTGAAAATCTTGACGGGCCGTGAACCCGCTCGTAGTGTAGCTCTTCAGGCAAGATCCACCAAAGTATGAGGACCCTGTCAGAATCCCGTTGACAAGAATCCCAGTACACGGGGCCCTTGATCTCAAGCAAGCCCATACGTCCATGCACACCTGGAGCCCAACCCATCGTCCGCACAACTCTGCGGGTTAATGATCTGCGCTGAACGGGATGTTGAGGATGCCTTTGTGCGGAGAATCGGAGAATGGTGGATGAGGTAAGAACGCCCAATCTGGAATTTCCAAACCTCAAACCTGATGTCTCTTGACTCCGCGTCCTTGAACTCCTGTTGCAGCAAGCGGCTGACGCACGCAGCCTGAGCAGCACAGGAAAACATTCGAAGGTCATGTGATTGTGAAGGGTTCTTTCGACTCGGAGAGCTGCCATGCAGATGCCTTATGCTGGAATCAGGCGCAGCGCCTCTACTGTAAGCGATCCAAGTCCACGTTGCACATTGCCCCCTGATTTTCGCCTTGCTGGTATCGCTACTGTAGCCATTTCTGTCAAGCAAGAGCTCTCTTTTCTTTTTTGATGGTTTTTTTCATTCCGCATGAGATACGGTGCAAGCCAAACGGGCGCAAAGACGAGGATTTGACTTAAGCAGAAAACGAGACTCTGAGCCTCAGCACACCGGCCCCAGCAGCACGAACTTACGTGAAACAACAGTAGCAGCTTGCGGCGCAGCCTTCCGGGAAGTCCTGGGCAGCAAGGCGGGCTTGCCTGTCAGCCTTGGGGTAGGTGCTTGCAAAGAAGGAGTGCAAGGCTTAGGGTTTAGGGTTTAGGGTTTAGGGTTTAGGGTTTAGGGTTTAAGATTTAAGGTTTAGGTTTTTGGGTTTGGGGTTTAGGGTTTAGGGTTTAGGGTTTAGGGTTTAGGGTTTAGGGTTTAGGGTTTAGGGTTTAGGGTTTAGGGTTTAGGGTTTACCTGCAAGTTCAGCTCTCAGAACATGCGTCCTAGTGTGTTTCTTTCCGAGTGTCCCCCCCTTGAAAGGCCGAGTGCAGCAGATGTCGCGGATCAAAGCACTCTTCTCCAAGTCAGGACCTTGGGTTGCTGCGTTCAGCGCTTAAATGAGGGGCAAGGCGAAAAACCCTATAGACCGTATAAACCCTAAGTTCCCTATAAACCCTGTAATACCCTGAAAGCCCTGCAAACCCGAAAGCTGTTCAAGGGAAGCCATGGAAGTTGCAAGCCCATTCCTCCAAGAAGCCGGGCAGGTTTGCCCACAAGTCTTCATCTACTCCAACCCAAAAAAGGGTGCAGGGTGTCGGGTTTGGGGTTTAGGGTTTCGGGTTTAGGGCTTAGGGTTTAGGGGAGCCCCGTAAACTTCCAAACCCTTAACTCACCTCGTGGGGCTTAGGGCTTGATATCTGGTTTATAGGTTATAGGGCTAAAGGTGGGTTTTGCGTTTGCGGGAGGGTTCCAGGGTGCAGGGAGCCCGTCACAAACCCAAATTAAACCCTAAACCCTAAACCCTAAACCCTAAAACCTAAACCCTAAACCCTAAACCCTAAACCCTAAACCCTAAACCCTAAACCCTAAACCCTAAACCCTAAACCCTAAACCCTAAACCCTAAACCCTAAACCCTAAACCCTAAACCCTAAACCCTAAACCCTAAACCCGAAACCATAAACCCTAAACCCTAAACCCTAAACCCTAAACCCTAAACCCTAAACCCTAAACCCTAAACCCTAAACCCTAAACCCTAAACCCTAAACCCTAAACCCTAAACCCTAAACCCTACCCAAAGACCCTTAGCCCAGCTTTGTAGGTGTGCCGGCTTCTCTGGCGGCCTCATCAGCGGAAATGCGGAGCTCCCGCAGCTGCTCATCCTGGGCCTCGACAAGTCGGGGAAGACGACTCTCCTCTACAGGCCCGGGGGACCCGAAACCCGAAACCCTAAACCCGAAACCCTTAACCCTTAACCCTTAAACCCTAAACCCGAAACCCTAAACCCTAAACATGTTGGGGGATTTTGAAGTGTAAGGCTTTAGGGATTATCGGCTTTCAGGTTTATGGTTCAGGGGCTCAGAGCCGGGCCCACAAGCTATAGACTCCCGGTGCCTTGATTCAGGGTTTAGGGTTAGGGTTTAGGGCCCAGGTTCTTACATTTAGATTTCGGGGCGTATGGGGGGCGGGGGCTTCCTTATGAGTGAGTAGCTAAGCGGCCTGTGCGTGTGTGCACATGTGTGTATGTGTGTGTGTGGTACGAAGCGGACCAATCCCAATTGAATGCTCCTGGCAGCCAAATCCCTTTCCAAGCAACGATTAGCAACAACACGGCTAGCAAGCAGGATAGCGAGAGCAACCGCCAAAAGATGTACTTAGCAGCAATGCTGATGACGCCCAAACGGTTCACACGGCCCCCGCAAGGCTGAAGATCGGATCGGGTTGGGGCGACATTGTCGAAGACATGAAGAGGTGCAGCCCCCTTCGGTTGGGACTTAGCGGGTTTAGGGCTTGGCATAGCCCGAGAGTGCACCGTGTACTGGCATACCCTTCAACCCTTCATGATTCATGTACATTGGGTGGGAGAGGGGGCAACCTTCGATCCAACCTTCTGTGTGTCTCGACTGCTGGGTATTCTGCGTGTGGGATAAAGGGCCTCTTGATATTGGGCTGAAAGAGGCTTTGCGGACATTTACAGATCCCAGGCATCCTCCGAAAACCCTGAGTCCCAAAGTCCTCAAACCCAGAACAAGCACCCGAAACCACTGCCCCCCCAAACCCTAAAGCCTCAAGCCCTACATCCCAGAAACTTTAACACCACTTGCCCAAAACTCCCCGAAACCCGCAAACCCTTTAAGCCCTAAAACCCCAAGAACCCTAAACTCGAAGCCCTAAACCCCAGCATCCAGGATGAGGACGCCTGATTCCGATGGCAAAGTTGAGGATCCAGGCTATCACTACGAGGACGCTCCAGTACCCTCTGAGGTTTCAGGGGTTTCAGGAGGTTTCAGGGACTTTTGGGGCTTCAGGGGGTTGAGGGGGTTTTGCGTGTTTTGAGGGTTTTGGGGCGGGTTGGGGCTTGGGGGGGTTCAGTGGTCTTGGGATGCAGCTGCAGACACTTGGCACCTCGGTGCTACGCATCCGATTTACTCCGACTAAGAGTTCCCCACTAAGAGGATCGCATATCGTAATCGAAGGGCTTCATATAGGGCCACGTTGAATACACGCAAGGACCTTGCACATTTCGAGGTGTTTGGATGTCAAGGCTGGTGGCTCTGTGCTCTGAGGCCCCCCAGTCCCTGTGGCAACTTCAACTTCGCAGGGACTGACTCGCGCCCCAAGCCCTAAACCCCGAACCCAAAACCCCAACGCCTAAAAACCATACACCCTATCAACCCTACACCCAGCTTGTGCTGGGTGATGCTGCCCTCAGGAGCTGGGCCGGTCCTTCTCCTGCGGCGTGTGGGAGGTCCCAGGCACCGAAGCCATGAGGCACGTCTTTGATTGGGGGGGGGGGGGGTTCTGGGGGGTTTTGGGGAGGTTTGGTGGGTTTGGGGGGGTCTTGGAGTTTTGGAGGTTTAGGCCTTTTGGGGAGTTTTGGGGGTTTTGGTGGGTTTGGGGGGGTCTTGGGGTTTGGGGCAGTTCGGGGTCGTGGGCTTTGGGTGTGTTTTGGGGCTGCAAGCTGAAGATGTCATAGGTATCCGATGTGCATGTCGGAAGACGGGGTAATCCCCCACGGAGCAACCTGTCTCCAGCCCTTTGTGTAGGTCATAGCGGACCTCGGCCCTGAACCCCCAAACCCGGACCTGAACCCCTACATCTACTGCAAGTGCAGTACTTTTCGAGTCTGAGGCACAAGCTGCAGCGGAGTCAGACAGCACATATATGGTACCCCAAGCAGGCAGAGCAGACACACGGATGCAAAGTTTCGGAGGCCGGTCTGGAAGCTGTTTTACCAGTCCATCAAGATCCACTGCGTTGTGTTCGTGGTGGACGCCACCGAGAACGAGCAGAGGAGAGCAGTGTAGCCTTACATCATCCGAAGCTTGCGAACACCCTCCCCAAAATCCCTCAACCCCTATTCTGAGCTCCAAGCCTCGCAACCCTGGAACCCCTGCGCCCCTCCTCGTGCGAGACGTTATCCAAGGTTCAATGACTGCATCCAACTCCTAGTGCACATTGAACCCAGAAACAGACCGTAGACGCAGACCAAGCAGCTTATCATCCTTCGACCTTCATCTCCTAGGATCAACCTGGCGAAGAGGCACCTGCACGTTCTTATGAACGAGGCCACCACCCTGGGTGGGGGGCTTTGGGCAGAGTCAAGTGTCAACACCCAAAAAAACAAAAAAAACACCGCACCCTAAGCCAGTCATCTACTCGAAGGCCCAAAAGCTTCACTCTCCCACCCATCGAGCCATGTTGAGTCTGGGCTTCAGCTGCGACAGCACTAGAAGTCACCAGAACCCAAGGGCTGACTATCGCCAAAGCCCAAAGAGTTCCCGATCTCCCCCCCCCCTCCCTCCTCCTTCAAACCCTGCAACGGGTCAAAAGAACCCTGGAACCCAGCCCTAAATACCATTGGTTGGCAGGCAGAGCTCAGAAACGCTTGCTTCTGCGCTGGGCCCCCGAGAAGGGGTGCACTCAGAGATCCTTGAGGTTGAGGGTTTCGGGATCAGGGTGCAGTGTGGCAGGGTTCAGTGCCAGTTCAGGGTTTCAGGTTCAGGGTTCAGGGCCTCTAAACTGGGAGATCCTTGAAAGACGAGGCTTTGGGTGTGGAGGGGTTTGGAGTGGGCGTGTAAATTTGGGGGGGCTTCGGGTTAAATTGTGCCGTGGAGGGAGAATTGCCGGAGTATGTTGCTCTTTAGATGCTGATTCATCTTCCCGACAAAGCTTGCATGGTTGGACATTGACGTCTGGCATTCTGAGCAATGCATATCTGGCCTCTAGATGTGCAAACAGCTTTGCCGCAAACTGAGATTCTGGTCACAGGTCATCATCAACCAGCGTGCGGACAGCGCCGGGAACAATGCCTGACACCCGGACGTCAGCACAAGTGGGGCATGACTTTCGAGTGAGGGAGCTTACGCTTCTAAAGATGTACTGCTGATGGGTTTAACACCATCTTCTCCACGACCACCTCCGGCAACACGTCATGTTGCCGGATCCTGCGTCGCTCCTTCGCATGTTGATGGTGAAGGTCTACGACGAGAAGGAGGATGTGCTGAAGTACAAGCTGGTAGCCCAGTTGCTACGTTTAATCTTAGTCGCACCGAACCCACAGGGTCCAAGTTGCTGAAAGACCTCAATTGACTGATGGATTTTGAACGACCGCAACTGCCTGCACAGGTCATGCATTAGGTTTGGGAACCGAAATCAGGGTGCTTCCTTGCAGGGGCCGAGTGAAACCTCGCCTGCAGTCTGGTTGTGGGCGTTCGTGGGTCGTCTCGCACTTCTCGAAATCCTGAAAAAACCGAGCCCGAAGACCCTAAACCCAAGTGCTTAAGACCCGAAGGGCTGAAGCGCCCCAAGTTCTTTCCTGAAAAGCCCCAAGTCTTCGAACCACATCTCCCCCAAAACAGACCACCCCCAAAAGACCAAAAAACCATACGAGAAGAGTCACACCAAGAGCACGAGAGGATTGTCTGTGACCAGATGGTTTCGGATGCATGCGGGAATGTGCCGTAGACACGCGCGCAGCCTTCATGGAAGTGGCGAGTTTTGGAAAGGCCAGAAAAACTTGATCATTCCGACCCCGGTTTGCAAGAAGGACTACCAGAGTAGTTTGACCGCAAAGGCCCACGTAATGACCAGCGGCCTGCCAAGACAATCGGGTGTGGTTTGCACGTGAGTGTCCCAGTACCTGTCGCGTCATCACCCTCTTGTCAAGGGGCCAGTGCAGGGTGGCTTCTTCATACAAGCAGCTAGCCATAAGAGAGGCTTCTAAACCCTAAACCCTAAACCCTAAACCCTGATCAGGCAAGGGTCAGTTTCTATACTACGTCGAATGAACCCCTCGGAGCTGCAGGCTCGGACTGCACGACCTGCATCCCTCCGTCGAATGGCGAACAAGGTCGGGGCTGGTGAGGATTCAAGGGGGCTGTGAAGTTAGGGTTTAGGGTTTAGGGTTTAGGGTTTAGGGTTTAGGGTTTAGGGTTTAGGGTTTAGGGTTTAGGGTTTAGGGTTTAGGGTTTAAGCGTTTTTAGGAGGCTGTGGAGAGGTCACCCACACGCGCGCGGGTGCGAGTGGTCCCGTTTGAGGAGCGGCAATGTTGAGCTCGCCTGCCTTTCAAAGTTGGGGACATGTCTTTGCTGCGTCAAGATGGCTTCGTTCCAAAATGGAGGTCCCCTCGATACCCCAAAAATGCTGCTACTCTAAACCTCACTTAGGCACAGAATGGATAGCCCCGCAAACGTTGGAAACCCTTCGATGCCGAGTGTTGGTTTCGCCGACGCCATCCTTTGCAAGGCATTTTGTCATCAACATCCTTGACATCAAGGGCGAGTGCGCTGGGAAAGGGGACCTGCAAAGCCTAAACTCCCACATTACATGGGTCATTTCTCTTAATTAGGGTTCCTGTTGGGGTTAGTTTTATAAGGCGGCCCCCCAGTTGTCTCGGGTGCCCACAGAGGGACCGCAATCTTGAGAACTGACCATATGGCATCTTCAGGGACACTCTCTACCCACAAAACATGCAGGTACTCGGCTCGCCAAATGTTTTGTGTGTGTGTGTGTGTTTTTGCGTGGTAGCTTATCTAGCTTGGTTCTGGTCCACTTCTTTTCCTGCCGAATCCTGTCCGCATCCGTATCCTTGCGGAAGCCCTTGAGAAGTTGCCTGGTTCCCTGTATTTTGCGATGGGCATGCAGTGATTAAGCCCAGATCCCGGACGACCCAAAGTTCGAAGCTTGCCTGGAGCTCTGCAAACCGCACCCGCGCCCACGGCCGGTGCTTCCCTAAACCCTAAACCCAAAACCCTCAACTCTAAACCCGCCCATGCCAAGCCCCGGACCTTGCCCGTACATGTGTCAGCTGCCACAGCTCCCTGCAAGGTCGGACAAGGACTGGCTGGGTGTCATGAGCTTCGCCAAGGACACCTGCCGCGAAGGGTTGTAACACGGGGCCGAGGCTGAGGCCCCCCCTATGCTCGTGGAAAGGGAGCTCTACCTTACTCTACCCGAGAACACCTTGCAAAGTTTCTCTGTCCATAGTGAAGCATGAGGCACAGCTCTTCATGTAGGTTTTTGTCGTGGACCAACTCCCAGATTGCGGCTTTGAGCTCTATGTACAAAGGACACCCTTCACCCCCTGGCCCTACGTTTCCCAGGCATGAGCCTCTGCAAACCCCAAATCCGAAATCACAAAACCGAAGAACCCGTCTAAAGCCTCGGCCCCAAAACCACAGACTGCGGGCATGGCCATGCCACAGGACGTGCTCACGGACAGCAAAGGATTCGCCTTGAAACTGTGACGAAACCAGTGTCTAGGGGCTAGTTGAGGCTTTATCGGGTTTTTAGTGCTTTACCCTCCGCAAGAGCCGGAGCTGTGATTGTTTCACTCACGTAAGCCCAGCCTGATATCCACGAAGTTCACGAGCTATCAAGCATTAAATGCTGAAAGACACGGCAGAAATCGCGTATGCTTGCGCTCTGTCGAGCTGACGCATACCCACATGATGCTCACGTACTTGGATTCCTATAGGAGGTGCAGGAGGTTTAGGGCTTCACCCTGTGACCCTAAACCCTAGACTCCTAGACGCCCTATGAACCATACCCCGATTGCCAGCAACGGGCCTGCAAAGTCAGCCAGGGTCGGCCAAAAAGGGCTCCTTGGACGCCAGGCCAAGAGAAAAGACATGGTGGGCTCCCTAAGTTTGGCTTCGGGTTTAGTGGTTTTTGGGGCGGTTTAGCGTTTAGGGTTCATAAGATGTATATTTTCGGTTTAGGTTTCGGGTTTAGGGTTCAGGGACGGTGTCCCGAATTCTGTTTCGCATGTGTGGCGCCAAACCTTTCCTTGTTTGTGGGTATCGCCGGCCCCTTAGTCCTAGTCCCCTAGTCCTGGCCTCGACTTGTCAATCAAACTGGGCCCCCTTAGAGAGTGCTTGCTCCTGGCCAAAGAAGCGGAGCTAATATAGGGTCGGAGATAAAGGATGAGTAGTATGCTCTTGTGGTCCCTGTATCTTTATATTGTAATCACTCCCAAAACCCTATTCTCATCATGAGGGCCCCTATATTACATAGAGGTGAAGGTTGCCAGTTGCCTGCAGTCGGCAAGGCTTGCTCAAGACCGCAACGTCACGCCTTCCTTGCAGCAATCCTGCAAAATGGGTCCATTGTAGTCTCTGGAGTGACCGGGGCCGGCTTCAACCTCCGCTTCGAAAACAAGATCAGCAATGTCCACGTTAAGAACGGCGGCCGAACAACTCTGAAACGACAGAAGAAGATACCGGTAATCACATGTGCACTTCGTACTGTTGAATCACCGATGGGCGTGCAGACCCCCCGCCACTTCACTTCCCTGGCGGAGCGACAAGACACTCAGTCGATCCGAAACGACTCACGCTGACAGATTTCGAAGAGGTGCTGGTTTCTCATGCTGATGCTGGTCGTCAGAGCAAGCAGCTTTCCCGTGGTGGGGCATACCCCCTTCACCTTCTTGCATGTGGTCAGTTCTCCCCACTATTAGATTAAGCCCCAGTCCAATACCAATGCCACAAGCCAGAACCAGACACATGTTTAGGGCAATATGTTTTCTAGGGCTTAGGGTGGAGGGTTAAGCGACGTTTTGGGTGTGGGGTACATGCTCAAGAGTGCTTTCTGTCAACGGGTTCATTTGCCGATCAAGCTCCGCCATATGCAAGTGCTCGGAAGCCGGAAGAAGAGTTGACAGTCATATCTGTCGACAAAACGGGTAGTAGTGAAATTCGGATGTGCGGCGCACACAGAGTGAAATGTTGGCCCATGCGCTGCGCAGGCCTATTTCGCATACTCGAAGCGGACTTGCTTGTTTGCATGCGCGTAGGAGTGGGTTGCTTTTCGATCTGGCATACTGGCTCCATACAGTTTCTGAAACATGCGGAAGCTTGCAACTTGAAGTTCTTATAGCAAGCAGATCCTGGTGTTCAGCCTGGAAGGGCTGCATCTGAACGCAGCACACCACAAGGCATTGAAGCCCACGTGGCAAACCAGTGTCCCAAGCTTCGCTATGGCGCGGAACCTCTGCATCTAAGAGTCCAGAGTGCTAGTCAGCTAGTCCCTGGTTATAAACCAACACCTTCATTCCGAACCTGCCATGGTGCGTGCTGCCTCGCATCAGATACCGCGGCGTCCGGTGACACCACTGGATGTGCCGTCGTGGGCAAATGGCATGTTCGAGCGTTTCCATGGCAATTCTTGGCGCTGAATCTTCTGATTATTTCCAGCCAGACGTCCGTGGGTTTAGGGTTTAGGGGTTGTTGGAACGCGTCTGCCTCTGATCTGTGATGGTGAACCAATTGCCTTCCCGAAGAGCGCAGTTGAAGCTGAAGAACTGTCCTTCAGCACTTTGATTAGCACGCACCCCAAAACCCCAACTCAATCCAGGCCGCAAACCTGTGCCACCGGCATCCCTCAAAACATCTGCGGCCTTCTTAGGACGAGTTTCGGCCGCACTCCTCGCACTCGCCGTCACGCCCACCGCAGCCCCTGCGTCCCAGCTCTCCTCACACAGAGCAGCTCGCTTGCATGGTGGCTTTGGGACTCTTTCAGCTTCTCTTTGGGGGTTGAGGGGCTTGAGGGCTTTAGGCTTTAGGGTGCCTAGACTCCAGATTACCTGACGCTCCTCGGAGGCTCGGGCAACAATTCTACCCTAAACACAAAAGCCCTCAACCCCTGAACCCTAAACCCTAAATCCCAAATTAAGAGTCTCAGGTGGCAGGGCCGCATCTTAGACGAGCTCGCGCGGAGCTCCAAGCGAGGGGGAACTCTCCCAACGCCCCGCTACAAGCAGCTGGGACCCTAAGGCTTCTGGGTTTTGGGGGGGGGGGGGGTGGGATCTCAAACGTAGAGTCCCCAAAATGAATCATTAATTATTCTGGTGTGCGAGTTGGGGCTCCACGGGGTGGTTTATAGCGGGGGGAGGGGGCTCTACGGTCAAGTATCAAGATCATCCCCGACCCTGGCATATGTTCTGCGAAGCCGGGGTGGTAATCGGAGGGAGCTCCTTGGATCTGCTTGTCATGACATCGTTTGGGGAAGCAGAGGTAGAGGCAAGTTATGGGGCACCTGGCTGGTAAATCTGAAGCGGAGCTCCCTGTAGCCGGGATGCTTACGCAGACCCGTGGGTTTACCCCAGGCCCTTAACCCCAAAAGGCCCTGAAAACAGCCGGCCCGATTTCAACCAACCTCCAAAGCCAATACCCAGGCGCGAGCCAGAGCTTTTCCCGTTGACCTTCGAGGCTGGGGGAGCATTCTTTCAGGGCCCTTCTAGTAGCATCCCAAAACCCCAAACCCTAAACTCTACAGAGCCTAGGGTTCATAAGCCAAATCGAACCCGAAACCCCTCATGTTGTACTCGGGTTTCTCGGGCTCTCTGGGGGAAAGGCTGGAGCCGCGGAAGCACATCACAGGAGGTCGTGAAAACTGCAACCTGTGGGCCAGGCGGGTTTAGTTTGTATATTCATATTCTGAGGGTTTACGAAAAGACCCCTAAAGTAGAGCCCAAATAGTAGGATTCGGAAACCACCATAATGTACATCATTCGAAAGTGCCTGCTGCCATCTGTACCCAGGCCTGCAGTACTGCTCCCGAGCTGCACTTGGAGCCGTTTAGGGTTTAGGGCGGTTAAGGGTTCTTGGTTCTTTGGGTGTTTAAGTTTTCTTCTGTAGGTTTCATGGCTTAGAGTTGATCAGCGGTCTGGCTGGGTCTCAGACGCTCTATAGGGTCTTACAGGTGCGTTTGGTAGGGGCTGCGTCCTGATTGAATTTTGTGTGCGGTTTCTATGTTGGGTTCTTTGCAAAAGCCCAAGAATCACATTAAAAGTACGTGTCATGGCATTCCTTGCCTTATAATGTAATTGATTTTGTATGGTCTTTTCGTGAAATTAGGGGCCGCTAGAAAGATGCTGAGGAGGATGCACGCCAAGAACATTACTTAGTGGGCCGTGCACTAGAAACCCAGGGCGTTTACACGGTTAACCTCATAGAGTTAACAGCAAAAAGGCACGTGAGTTCAATTAGTTTAAGGCACGTGAGTTCAATTAGTTTTATGACGGTGTTGGTACGTTTCAAGGTGTTTTTTCTGATTCTGCTTTCTCTTCCCCTAAAGGTATGAAATATTGTTAAGCTCGCACAACAATGCCTTACATCCAGAGCATGACAGATAAGGATGAAGCAACGCACCCTACTCTCATAATCGTGTTCCTTTGTCTCAAAGTTACTCGCCGTTTCTGAAGCGACCAAACAGGTCGATGAGGGGTGGGGGCGGGGGGGCTCTGCTCTGGCTGCTTCCTGGCGAGCTGGGCTTGGGCTTGGGAGATAGGGGTCTTGGGGATTAACCCAAAACCCGAAAGCCTTAAACCGGCAACCCTAAACCCGAAGACCCTGTAAAGCCCCAAACCCAAAAACCTAAACCCCAAACCCCAAGCCCTAAACACTAACACCCGAAGCCCGAAGCCCAAGGACTGTTCCGATGGCAAGCTGCCCGAGGAGGAGTCGCCGCAGGCGCTCTCGGATCCCTTGAGCCGTAGCAGTTGGGAACCGACGATGGGTTCAGGGTTCAAAGGATTTTGGGTTCAGGGTTTAGGGTTAAGGGTTTGGGGTTTAGGGTTTAGAGTGACCCTACAGTAATACTTCAGACCCTCTCACCCTGAGCTAGGCCGGGCAAGAAGAGCAACCCCTGCTAAAGCTGGGGACGCGCGAACACAGCGAGTTGTCGCGCTGGCTCCCAGACATCACGGAGGCTGGTACGAGGGTCATTTCAGGGCTGTAAAAGGTTAAGGCTTAGGTTTCGGAGGGCTTGGGGGGGGTGGGGGGGGGGGGGTTCAGAGCTTGGCAGCTGCTACACTTCTTTGCGGTATCTGAGGATCCGTTCTGTTTAAAGTAGCATTGAAAAGGGGGGGGGGGAGGGGGGGCGGCAGAGTGGCTGAGGATTTCTTGGATGTGCAGGCTTTGAATGGGCTTTGCATGCCTCCATGGCCCCCCTTTTCTCCTCAACCTGAATCTCAACAGTTTCTGCGGCCCCCAGCTCTAAATGTCAGACACTTCCGGTAAAAAACGTCCGAACGCTGAATGGAGAAGAAGGGGGTTTGATTATTCGTGGTTCGGCTTTCTTGTGCTAGCAGAGCTGTTTCTTTTCTTTGTTGCACTTGATTCCCAGCCGCAAGCCCTAAAGCCCCTGTACACTGCACCCTCCGCCCCAGATACCCAGTAGCACCACGAGGTACCATTGTTAAAAAACACCAGATCATAGGAGCTTCAGGCCCTCTGCGAGGCCG